GCAGGTGATCCACCCACCTTGGCCTCCCAGAGTGTGGGATCACAGGCATGAGCCATGGTGCTCAACCTATCTTTTTTCTTAATACTGTCTTTATCTGGTTTTGATAGCAGGGTAATAATCACATAAAATGAGTAACATGTTCCCTCCACTTATATTTTCTGGATGAATCTGTGTAGAACTGGTGTTAATTCTGGTAAGAATTCTCCAGTGAAACTGGGCCTGGAGATTAGTTTAGAGATTTTAAATTATGAATTCAGTCTCTGTAACAATTATAGGGCTATTAAAATAATCTATTTCATATCAGGTGAATTGTGGTAGTTTGTGCTTTTTAGAAAGAGGGTTGCTGTCAGGCCAGGCGCAGTGGCTCACGCCTATAATCCCAGCACTTTGGGAGGCCAAGGAGGGCAGATCACTTGAGGCCAGGAGTTTGAGACTACCCTGACCAAAAAGGTGAAACCCCATCTCTACAAAAAATACAAAAATTAACCAGGCGTGGTGTTGCACACCTATAATTTCAGCTACTCAGGAGACTGAGGCACGAGAATTGCTTGAACCAGGAGGTGGAAGTGGCAGTGAGCTGAGATCGCACCACTGCACGCCAGACTGGGAGAGAGAGTGAGACCCTGTCTCAAAGAAAACAAAAATCGGTTCACTTCATCGAAGTTGTCAGACTTACATATGGAGATTTATTCATAGTATTTGTGTATCTTTTTGATTTCTGCAGTCTGTATTGATAATTCTTTTTATTCCTGATATGCAACTGTGTTTTCTTGCTTTTTATTAGTCTCACTAGAGATTAATTTTGCTGAATTTTTTGGTAAGAACCAGATTTTTGTATCATATTTTCTGATTTTCCTATTTTCAATTGCACTGATTTCTTCTCTTACTTTGCATTTATTTTATTTTGTTTTTCCTATCTAGTTTCTTGAGTTTAGACCTTATTATAGTTTAAAACCATGTTTCTTTCAGGTTTTAGTGCAATACATTTCCCTCTCAGGACTGCTTTAGCCACATATTTTGATGTCGTATTTTCCTTTTCACTCAGTTCTGTTTTCTTCCTCGAGACTTCTTCCCTAATCACGGATAATTTCAAAGTATGTTGTTTATTTCTCAGAGTGTGGAGATTTTCCTTTTATTGTTCTACTACTAATTAATTGATTCTACTGTGATCAGACAGCACACTCTGATTTCAGCTCTACTAATTGGTGGAGGTTTATTTTACGGCCCAGGTTATAATGTATCTTAAGTTCCGTGAGAGCTCGAAAATAATTTATATTCTGCAATTTTGGGGTGAGGTGTTCTAAGTGGTCTATCGATTACTGAAAAACGTATGCCAAAGTCTCCAACTAAAGTTGTGGATTTGTCTATTTCTTCTTTAATGTCTGCATCTTTTTATTTCACGTATTTTGTAGTTCCTTTCTTAGATGCATATAAATTTAGGATCAATCTGTTTTCTTTGCGTATTGACATGTCTATCATTATTTAATGCCCCTGGTAATTTTCTCTGCTCTGAAGTCTGTTTCATCTAATACAAACATGACCATTCCTGCTTCTTTTGATTCATGTTTGCATAGTATATATTTTTCTACCCTTTTACTTTAAACTCACCTGTATCATTGTATTTTTAAGTTTCTTATAGACAGCACATATTTGGCTAATGTGCTTTTAATAATTCTGCCTATCTTTTGTTCTTTTTTGTTTGCTTGTTTTGAGACACAGTCTCACTCTGTCACCTAGTCTGGAGTGCAGTGGTGTGATCTTGGCTCACTACAACCTCTGCCTCTCCGGTTCAAGCAACTCTCCTACCTCAGCCTCCTGAGTAGCTGGGTCTACAGGTACCTGCCACCATGCCTGCTCATTTTTGCATTTTTAGTAGAGGTGGGGTTTCATCATGCTGGCCAGGCTGGTCTCGAACTCCTGACCTCAGGTGATCTGCCCGTCTTGGCCTCCCAAAGTGCTGGGATTACAGGCATAAGCCACTGCACCTGGCATACTTGTTCTGATTGTTTTCTCTTCTAGCTTCTTGTGGGTTACTAATATAGTTTGGATGTTTGCTCCCTCCAAATCTCATGTTGAAATGTGATCCTCAATGTTGAAAAGTGGCGCTTAGTAGGAGGTGTTTGGGTCACTGGGGCAGATCCCTCATTAATGGCTTGGTAGCCATGCTGCAGCAATGAGTTCTCACTCTGTTCATGTGATAGCTGGTTGTTTAAAAGAGCCTGGCTTCTATCTTACTCCCTCTCTCATCATGTGATACACTTGTTCCCACTTTACCTTCTGTAAAGCAGAGTAATAGCTTCTTGAGGCCCCCACCAGAAGCAGATGCTGGTGCCGCGCTTCTTGTATAGCCTGCAGAGCTGTGAGCCAAATTAATTTTTTCTTTACAAACTATCCAGCCTCAGGTATTCCTCTATAGCAATGAAAAATGGACTACCACAGTTACTTAAACGTATTTCAGAATTCCATTTTTTATTTTTCTAGGGTTTTATACGTATCCTGTGGTATAGTCTTTTCTTACTGGTGACTCCGAGTAGTACCTAATATAAACGTAACTTCTTAAGGTTCAGTGGTGTCAGTATTTTACCAGTTTGCGATAAATGTAGAAACCTGGTCTCCTTTGTAACTGTCTTAACTATTACTTGTTCAGTAAGTCCTTACTTAATGTTGCTGGTAGGTTCTTGGAAATTGTGACTTTAAGCAGAATGATGTACTGTATAATAAACCAACTTTACCACAGAAGTTCCCACGGCACACAGAACATCCTTTCACTTAAAGTTGCAGGACCCAAGAACCCACTGATGATGTTCAGGCCTCAGTGTACATACACAGAGAACCACATCAAACAGTGATACAGTGCTTGTTGCACCCATGAGAGGAATGAGTCAATTGAATTACCCTCTATTTTGATTTTCCACTTTTCCTTCCTGATGTTTCTGGATTCCCCCTTTTATTATTACCTTTCTGTGTTAAGAACTTCCTTCAGCTGGCAACAAATTCTTTTAGTTTTCTTTCATTTGAGAATGTCTTGATTTTCCCATCATCCTGAAGGATATCTCTGATTGATACAGAATTCTTGGCAGACAATAATTATCTTTCAGCACTTCAAAAATGCTGCCTTTTCATCTTCTGGCCTCTGTAGTTCCTAATGATAAATCCAGTATCATTTGAATTGTTCTTCTCCTCTAAGTTAGGTGTTACATCTTTCACTGCATACAAAACATTTTTTTGCCTTCCGTTTTCAGAAGTTTGATTATGATACATGTTGATGTGGATTCTTTTGGGTTTATCCTGTTTGGGTTTCACGCATACCTTTACTGACACTGCAGAGGAAGTGCTGGTATTATGTGGCCTCACTGCTGCCATGCATTTGTGAATGGGAGAGATGCCTTGTTACTGCCCAAAGAAGATAGGTAAGGTTTCTACATTTATCCAGGCTTCCCATGTGGCCTCCACTGATACCGCTGGGCCGAGGGACTCATTACTGCCCCACTAGGATGAAAGTCCCAACTCCCTACTTGGCCTTCTCTGATACCCCTGTGACAGGGGGGTCTTCAGCTTAGCAAGGGTGAAGTCCAGGTTACTTACTTGGCCTTTGCTGGTATGGGTGGTGATGGGACCATAGATTTTTCTATGGTGTCCGACTAGAGTAGTGCAGTTATTGACAAAAAATATCTTGGCGCACTGTGACCTCCACCTCCCAGATTCAAGCAATTCCCATGCCTCAGACTCCCGAGTAGTTGGGATTACAGGTGCCCGGCACCACACCTAATATTTGTATTTTTAGTACAGATGGGGTTTTACCATGTTGGTCACGCTGGTCTCTGTGGGTCAAGATGGCCAGGGGGAGACCTATGTTAATTCTAGCTAAATAATTATAAGCTTGTTGGGTTCAAAGTACACTTAAGTTTATGCACCAAACTATATTATTGGTGCAGTTAATTAGCAATCAAGCGGCAACAGGAGGCCTAAGGTAAGGAAGTTTATGCACCAAACTAAACTATATTATTGGTGCAGTTAATTAGCAATCAAGCGGCAACAGGAGGCCTAACGTAAGGACCACCTGAGAGCGAAGGAACACCGGGAAACAACGCAGGGTGGTTGCAGAGCAGGCAATACTGCTCGAGTCCTACAAATGCCTTCTCAACATGGAGAATGTATGAGGGTCTGGTAAAGAGGACTTATACAAAGATCTCTGAGAAGAAAGGTGACCTCTGCTCACAAGATCTGGGAGGGTCTTTGTAGATGGGAGCTGGCAAGGAGGAGAAAAGCCTTGCAGGGCAGAGAACATGGAACTCCTCAGGCTCTGCCTAGGTTCTCGGAATATGAAATGGTTTTAATTGCTCTGTGCCCTCAATGCTCGGGAGATAAAAGCCCTTTGATGCATTGGATGGGGACAGGGTGGCTCCTCGTGCCAGACTTCTGATGCAGCTGCACCCTGATAACTAGTTTAGCATGTCTTAGAAGCATCTCAAGTACTCCCCACCATCTTACCTACCCCTGCACCCTCCTCTTGCATGCCCACAACATCAATGAATTATGCACATAATAAAAGTGTTTGGAGCCCAGAGCTCGGGGCCAACCACCAGGACTAAGGGCACCAACAAATGGGGCTGGGGCTGGTACTCAACAGTCTCAAACCCATGACCTCAAGTAATCCACCTGCCTTGACCTCCCAAAGTGCTGGGATTATAGGCATGAGCCACTGCACTCGGCCTTTTTTTAAAAATTGAGGCAGGGACTTATCGTGTTGGCTAGGTTAGTCTTTACCTCTTGGCCTCAAGTAATCCTCTCGCCTTGGCTTCCAAAAGTGATAGGATTATTGGCATGAGCCATTGCATCGCACCTAGTGAACTCATTTTGATGACAATTAAGAGAAAAAGTTATCTATTAAATAATCCTTCCAATTCCCTTAAAAACATCCGTAAGTTTTTTTGGTTGTTTTTTCATATCCGTAAGTTTAACTAAAAAACAGTCATACAAATCATGGGATTTACTCTTACCTTGTTCATTGCCATTTACACAAATGTTAAGATTGATGTACACACAAGCAGAACCAGGAAGGGAAGATCCTCTGGTAAGTGTAATTTCCAGTTCAGATCCCTTCAACTGAGCACGAGAACATATGGCTGAGTAACTGCGGCACCTGACTGCAATGTGCCACACCATCATGTAACACAGTGACTACTTGGTAACAACAAAGGCTGTATAACTGTGGGTAACCCCCATATATAGGCACTGAGGAATGAGAGCTAAGCAGAACCCTGGCACAGTTCGGGCTTCAGGAATATCTCACTTTATAGTGTTACTACTCAGCGATTTCCTTTTATATAATCCTTTACATAATTGTATATTAGTTTATAAAATTAGGGCTTGAAGAATCCCTTTATATAATCCTCCTTATATAATCATATAATAGTTGATAGTATGAGTGACTAAAGAATGTTTCCCTACAGATATACCTATAATTATATCTTAGTTCATAATCGGAGGAATGCCTCAAGTGGACACAGTACAGAGCACGAATTAAGGAATAAGCAGTTTATAATCGGAGAAAAGCCTAGAGCAGACACAGTGCAGAGCATGATTTAAGGGAAAAAACAGTTATACCAGGACAAGAATCCATGGCTCAAGCGGCAGCGTTCAGTATCGTAAAGATACCCACTGTATGGCAAGCTTGGGGCGAGAGCCACTCCTCCTGACAAAGGAGTTGTAGGACCTTGCTCCAGTTCTTGTGGAAGGCTGCCCTCAGACCGGCAATCCACCTTGGTGACTGTGAACTTTATCAGCTCTTGCTACTGTGCTGCTTGAAAAGCATCTTCCCATAGAACCCATTGGAAGCTGCCAGGAGGTGGCGGTAACCTTGACAACTGAAACTATGACTTAAAGCATCCTCCTATAAATCTTCTTAGAAGTAGTCTGCCCATAGAAGTATTGCACACTGCACCCTCTTCACTGCGCACAGCCCTCCTTCAAGCCTCGGTGATCTAATGGGGTGGACCCATTACTGCACACGGCCCTTGCCTTCATGGGAATGGGCCCCTTGCTGCACACTGTCCTCCTCCTGGCCTAGGTGCCCTAATGGGGGTGGACTCCGTGTTTTATTGCTCACGACCCCATCACTATCCTTAAAGATGGTTTCACTCACTGCCCTGCCCCCTAACCTATACACAATAAATACTCATGCTTCTGGACATTTGGGTCCTCGCCTGACTCCGCTTACAGGAGGCGTGGCTCCCTGAACCCAGCTGCAATTTCCTTGTACTTCTGTGTCCTGTCTCCTTATTTCTTGAATCCTGCGCCTCAGTATGGCATAAGGCACACCCCATGATCCTGTGGGGCCCTCAGCCCTACAGTATACAACTGAGAACATATTCAATCTCATTACTTGAAAAGTCAAATGCTATAATTTATATCCCATTTTTTCTCCTTTTATTCTACTCTCTAAAAAATAAATGCTCACTTAAAAAAAATTTAAAAATTTACAAAATATGCAAAACAGAAAATGAAACCACACTACAACTCACCTCACTGAAAAGATAAACAGCCATGGTCAGCCCCTTCTTGTCTTGCTCTACTTGTCCCATAGAAAGAATGAGGCAGGAAAAATTAATTAAATAAGTGACTGAGACATATTTTTAATGATCTACTTCTTTTTTTTTTTTTGAGACACGGTCTTGCTCTGTTGCCCAGGCAGTGACGTGATCTTGGCTCATTGGAGCCCCCACCTCCCATGTTCAAATGATCCTCCCACAAGCTGATATCTTCCCTACCTTAATATCAGACTTTCGTAAGTATATCTAAAATTCCTAGATATAGCAACAGAAAATGCAATAGTGATTTTTCTTTTTTGGTAGTGTAATTTTATGGAGAACCCACTACGAGAAGAGTTAAATGTTTTTCAAGACAATTGCTGTTTACTTTTAATAATTACCAGAATCCACACACTGACTTTGCCAGTTTTAAAAAAACAGGCCCACATAGCCATTTCATTTCTGGGCAAAGCTCAACTACTCTCCTGGCTATCTTCCTCAAGAGAACTGTTGTGAGAACAGTTCTGCCCTCTATCCCCACTCCATCTTTTCTCAGCTTCCACTCTCTAGCTCTACCCACTACTGTCCAGAGCAATTACCTCAAGATTGAGTGCTGTGCCAATCTCTACTGTGGGAAGTAAGTAAGTACATAAGGTAAGTAGGTAAGTAAGTACATATCAACAAGTACGTAAGGTAAACCTAATCTGAAAACTTTTAGCACTTCAGTGGAACTCAGCACTCACCTGTGTTTTTTCTTGAATAAGGATTTTATCTGATGGAGGAGCTGGATATTGTTTTGAGGAAGCCTTTATGGTGGCAAATATGTACTCTGTGTGGCTTTCAAAACATTATTCAGATATCTTCACTATGATTTCATCAGTTGGACCAGATGGCACTGAAAGTACACACAGAAAAGTTTAAAAGGAAACTACATTCTATTAATCAGAACTTAAAGAACGTACTGTTCAACAAGGGCTACGGATCCCATGCTGAATCATCACAGAAGAGCAGTCACCCATCCCTCCCTGCTGGGTGATCTATGAGACTAACCGCACTGCAGCACAGGATTACCTTTGTGTCCTTTCCTCGACTCATTGGGGATAGGGCATGTTTCTTTTCCTGACACAATCAGTGCCTCATGAATGTTGAAACCAAGAAATAACCCAGAACCCACTTAACACAGTTCTGAACTGATGCAGAGGTCACAAGCACCCTGTTATCTGCTGGAACAGCCTCCTCAGACCCTGAACAGCCCGGGGAAGCAAGATGTGCAGCAGCTGTCACTGCCCTCTGCAGGGCAAGAATTTCCTGATTCTCTCACTGGCAGGGGCTTGGCAGCCCCTCGGCTCTCCAGGATGAGCTCTGTGTGTATTCCTCAGTTCTCTAATGAGGAAAAACTACCCCGCTCTATCCAGACCCAGGAACCTCCCCTAAGCTAGATGCCTGTCGATGCTGACTGCAGCTTTGCCCTTTTGCAAAGACACTATCATCTCTGATTACCTTCTGCCTCAATCACAGAGGCTATTTTATAGAAGCCCAATGGAGCTAAAAAAAAAAAAAAAAAAAAAAAAGGATAGGAAAAGGCACAGTCTGGCTGAAAGCTACAGCTTGGGAGTGAACATGTGGGGAGGGGAAGAGGAGTGACTTTCCTGCAGAATAGAATCCAAATACACTGTAGATCAGTGACTGTCATGCACTGATCACTACGGTTTATATTACCTGCCTCTCCTATCTTCCCCCAACAACCAAAATGCCAAAACAGCAGCATATTGTTAACTGACAAACTAGCCTTCCTGCGAAGTTTCTGTATGTGACTAATGACTTCTTGAGCCATTCCTTCATCCACCATTGACTGGTCAGGAGTGACATCTAAGACGAACAAAGGCTGTGGGAATGAACAGTGCACACCAAACCATGACAATCAAATAAGGAGAAACATTTCTTCCCACTTCAGCGAAATGCCCTTTAAAACTTAATCTGGAGACTCTTTAATGCAGCACTGTTTGTTCACACAAACCAGCAAAAGCAATAAAATTAATCTAGTTTATTGTTCAGGTACTTCTTCATAACCCGCCAGTCCTCTATCTCTGCAGAAAGGTGTACAGCTTTTTGTTTCTTCTTTTTTTTGTAGGGTGCTGCTCACAGGAGATGCCCTGAAACCACCTCTTGAGTCCCTCACATGACTGCTTTTCGGCCATCTAACAGGTAATATTAACTCTTCTAATAAATAAGATCAATAATCATGAAGCCCTTAGAGCAGCACAGCTTTTCAGGCCACAACAGGTGGATCGAAGGCCTCACAGCAGTCAACTCCAAGTGACTTTCTTATACCATGACCCCTGTGATCTGTAGGTTTGTCAGAATGACTGAAGACTAATTCTACAATGAACCACAAAACTTTTTGACTTAATATAAACTGCCATATTTTTGCTAAGGTTAATGATTCTATTTACTCTGAAGGTTGTTGATTATGATGTAGCAATAATGACACCATCACTTCTGTTACACAGCACACTGCAGAGTAGAATACACTCCACAAATGACTTGTAAATCAGGTATCATCTCATTTACCTTTGAGCAAAAAGGGAAGTTAAGAAATGACTTACTTCACAAAGGCATCAGAGACAATGAAATGAATGATAAACTCATAACTCCAGTCAGTGGAGGGCCACCAAGCCCCCTAAAACATCTAAGACATGTCAAGAAACTCAGAAGCATCACGTGATGACACTTTTCTAAGTGTGGACAACTTTTCAGGCCCCTAACATCTGTTGTAACGAGGAAGAACTGCCCACTGTCAAGTGTTTACAAACCTCCTCCCTGCCTTCCCTTGCATTCTTTCCCAGCTTTGATACCTCTGACTCCTTGCCACTGTCTGCCCACGGGGAGTGCTGTACACATCTAACATAAGCACCTGGATAAAAAACTAAGGAGGTCGACCTTCTTTCATAGAGGTGCTGCTCTACCTTCCCCCTGCAAATGGTATGCTAAGCACAGATATCCCCAATCCCACACGAGAGATCTTACAACTATGCCGACTGGGGGACAGGTCCGGTCAACATTGCAAGGAGTTAGTGTCTTTTCTATCATGGCAAAAAATATTGACACCAGAATCAAAAACAGCCTGTAAATTCTCTTCAAGGAGTGCTTCCTGACCACTTTCACCTCTATGCCAATTTTTGGATAAAAGCTCTCTGTGTACTTATTTCTACCAGATAACTTATATCAGGTAGAATACTAAGCAATGGCTTAATTTCATATATTCTTGATTAACTCCTTGAAGGGTTCACTTTTTTTTTTTTAAGACGGAGTCTCACTCTGTTGCCCAGGCCGGAGTGCAGTGGTGCAATCTTGGCTCACTGCAATCCCGGCCTCCTGGGTTCAAGTGATTCTCCTGCCTCAGCCTCCTGAGTAGCTGGGACTATAGGCATGTGCCACCATGCCTGGCTAATTTTTTCTATTTTTAGTACAGACTGGGTTTCATCATGTTAGCCAGGCTGGTCTTGATCTCCTCACCTGGTGATCTGCCTGCCTCGGCCTCCCAAAGGGCTGGAAGTACAGGTGTGAGTCACTGCGCCCAGCGTGAAGGGTTCATTTTTGTGCAACCCCACACTTGAGACAATTACATGTAGAAATCACAAGATACTTATGTATTCATTAAACAAATGCATATGTTAAAGGCATAATGATATATTAGTTTGACAAAGCCAATCTAAACCAAGTAACTGGTTTATTTTACCCTGAGGCAAACTGTCAACATTATCAGGAAAGGCATAGGCAAATGCCTTCTCCTCTTATGCTCTCATCTCTTGGTAAAGAAATGTTTTCGGAAGCAGAAAAATGCCTGCGCATGAGTGTGCTCCGAATTGTGCAGTCCCACCTGTGGCCTGATCAAAGGTGTACATGAGACGGATGTCTTCATCATGTAATTCATGGCCTTCCACAACAATGGTCCCTATGGAGAAGCAGATACACTGTTAATCAGCTTCCCTTCTTCTTCAAGCTGCGCCACTACCCGTGTATTATGCTCCTTCTTCATGAAAATTTCACAACAGCAAAGCCACAGTAGTTTCAAAAGAACATTTCCCTCTGACTCATGTCATGGTTTTAGCCAAGATATGACAAACTTTCTTTGGACTACACTACACTACCTTGAAGACAGTTAAATCATCACCAATATCTAGTTTTATATAAACTCTCACATCCACAGAAATAACAAGGCTAAGGGAAGGCAACTAGAGGCAACAAATGCTCACCACAAACACAAAGCAGAAGGATGTAATAAAGAAAACACAGTCTTTAGAGAGAAAGCGAACATAGGTCCACCATTAGCTGGTTGCATGACATGCTGAGCAAGGTATGGTGAGGCTAAAACGAGACAGGCTGGTACTGAGCATCATGCCTGCTCAGGGGAGGCAGAAATGTGCACAGCGGCTGACAACACCCCGGCGACAGGGAGGCCCACTGTTGTCATCGATAGTGACATTTTTGGGCTCTGAGCACTCCCCGGCAACAGGGAGGCCCACTGTTGTCATCGATAATGACGTTTTTGGGCTCTGAGCACTAGGGTGTTATGTTTATGTTTACTTCATCACTGTGTTCCAAAAAACGATTTTGTTTTCATCAGTGCAAAACAGTTTACTTAGAAACTAAAATTTAGAAACTAGGCTTTCAATTTCAAATAAGGTTGATTTCAGGAATTTTTGATGCTATGTCTATCTGGTGAAACAATTTAGATTTGTGACTTCAAGGTGTGTAAGTTTTCTATTTTAATATTTTGAGTTGATTAGTAATTAGGAATAACTTGAGTTCTAGCTGCTACTGTATTATGTTTTTATTACATCTAAATATTTGGGGAATCTTAGGGACATTTCCCCCAATTTCCTTAGCCACTCATCTGATTTATGAATCCTTAAATCTCTCTTCTATGGTATCTCCCAGCTTATGATCTTCAACTTCAGGGGAAGTCCTAATAATAAACAGCTTGTGCCCCAGATAGCCACAGGATGTCAGACAGCCACACTCAAACCATGTATGATTCTAATCTTAGCAGAGCTGCAAATTTTTGGGCACCCTGAAATGCTCTGTAGAGGGGTGGTGAGATGGGGCTAATTTCACTTTCCTAATCCCATCATTTGGTTAGGTACCCCAATACATGTTTTTATATTACCCTATATTTCCCTTTATAGCATTTATCAAAACCATACTTATTGTCCCAAATCTTTAATGTCAGCGAGCATCATGAGAGTAAGTACAAAATTTATCCTAGGCTGCAGGTATCCTCCCACCTCAGCCTCTCAGAGTAACTGGGATAGCAGGTGCATATCACCACACCCGACTATCTGCTGTATGATCTCAAGTAACCTGCCCACATGGGCCTCCCAAAGTGCTGGGATTACAGGTGTGAGCCACTGTACCCAGCTATTTTGTTTCTAAATTGAAAAATTATTTATGGCCAGGTGCAGTGGCTCACACCTGTAATCCCAGAACTCTGGAAGGCTGAGGAAGGCAGATCATAAGATCAGGAGTTCAAGACCAGCCTGGCCAACATAGTGAAACCCTGCCTCTACTAAAAAAATACAAAAAAAAAAAAAATAGCTGGGCAAGGTGGCAGGTGCCTTGTAATCCCAGCTACTTGGGAGGCTGAGGCAAGAAGAATCGCTTGAACCTGGGAGGTAGAGGTTGCAGTGAGCAGAGGTCATGCCACTGTCACACCCGGCAACAGTGTGAGACTCCATCACAAGGAAAATAATAATAATAATAATAGTAAATATTTTTATAAACAGGAAAAAGTTTTATTTAAGAAAATGATGGCCGGGTGTGGTGGTTCATACCTGTAATCCCAGCACTTTGGGAGGCTGAGGCAGACAGATCCCCTAACATCAGGAGTTGGAGACCAGCCTGGTCTACATGGCAAAATCCCATCTTCACTGAAAATACAAAAATTAGCTAGGTGTGGTGGCACATGCCTGTAATTCCAGCTACTCGGGAGGCTGAGGCAGGAAAATCGCTTGAATCTGGGAGGCAGAGGTTGCAGTGAGCCAAGACTGTGCCACTGTACTCCAGGCTGGGTGACAGAGTGAGATTTCGTCCTAAAAAAAAAGAAAACAAAAGCAAATGATGTAATTTTAAAGTCAAACAATAACGTAAATACAAAATATCCCTCAGCCTGAGGACATGAACGGTGCGCCCTTGTCTGTGTAGACACCTACCAGTCTTTAGGAACTGCTCCAGCTCCTCACTGCTCAGCTGCTTGATGGACGTCATCATCACTGTCTTAAAGGCTCCCTTCAGACGCTTCCCCAGGACCATGTGATCTGGTTCTGCCCTTAGCTGAATGCCGTTCTTGTTTTTATCTGCAGACAGTGTACTTTTTGAACATTCAATTCCTATACTTAGTGCACAAGAGGAAACAAAAATGAGAAATGAAAACTTATGTTCATAAAAACATATGTCCACAGTAACACTATTCCCATCAGCCAGAAGGTAAGAACAGTTCAAGTGTCCATCACATGAATAAACAACATAATACTGTAGACGCATGCAATGAAATATTTAGCAATATGAAGGACTGAAGCACTCATACATGGTACAACATAAATTAATGTAAAACATTATGCTAGCTGAAATATGCCAGACATAAAAGTTACAAATTGTACAATTCCACTAATATGAAATGTCCAGAGAAGGCAAACCCAGAGACAGCAAATAGGTTCGTGGATGCCGGGAAGTGGTCAGGTATCGAGGGGAAAATGGTGTGTGAATGCTAATGAATACTGGGTAATCTTCCTGGGATGATGAAAATGTTCTAAAACTGTGGTGATGGTTGTACAATTCTATAAATATGCTTAAAAACCAGTGACTTGTATGGTAAGAAAAAGAAGTTTCTTACGAAGATCTACTAAGACAGTTGAGCGTAACAGAAAAAGGACCCCAGAACGAGAAATATAAACTTCATCCGTCAGAGGTAACCTTTGTGCAACCCATTTCATAGTACCACGAGGGTAACTATCAACCAAGCAGATGAATCAGTTAAACAGAACCCTTCATGCTTCAGTCATGCTACTGAGGATTACTGATGCAGCAGGCATGGTGATGGTACAGTAGATGGAAAAATGACATCTCATGAGAATAGTTTGAAGCAAATACTATGGAATGTTTACTTTTGCCATGATATTTAGCTACATTAATCTCATTTCAAGTGACTGAAGTAATTTATTTAAAATGTTTTCAATGGCACACACCTGTAATCCCAGCACTTCAGGAGGCCGAGGTAGGAAAACTCCTTGAGTTCAGGAGTTAGAGACTGCCCCGAGTAACATGGTAAAACCCCATCTGTACAAAAGCCTGTACTACTATGCCTAATCTCAGCTATTTGGGAGACTGAAGTGGGAGGTGTGCCTGAGCCCAGGAGATGGAGGTTGTAGTGAGCCAAGATCACATCACTGCACTCCAGCCTGGGTGACAGAATGAGACCCTGTCTCAAAAAAAAAAAAAAATCCTATTTTATGCATAACCACAGGCACTAATTTCAGAATTTACAATCTAACTTTCAGTTTCTAACATTTCTCTGGAATTCTCAAGCAATGAAAACCAAATACAGAAATTAGTATTTTCTATAATAATGATTTTAAATATTACCTGTGACAAGAATAAACAATAAAATAAAAAAAAATTTGCTTTCTATAATCATAAAGAAGATGAGGTAAAATGTTATTTGTTTTTTAAAAATAATGCAATAAAGATGTTTAGGAAGACAACTGACACCGTTATTTCAACTTTGACCCCAAAACTCCACTTCTGGTATCTACCCAATATCCATACAGTGATATATGCATATATGAATATACATAGCTTTTGTTTGTAATTGGAAACCTAAATTTCAAACAACAGGAGGATAATTATATAAATCATGAAGCAGCCAGGAAGTGAGACTCCAGAAGAGACTGAGTGGAAAGACACTCACTACGCTAGTGCCTTGACTATTTATAACCAATGCGAGGGCACTCGTCACTTGTATAATTTGGAGGAATAATTTTTCTTTGGTAGTTATCAAAAAGTACTTCAGAAGGCCAGGCGAAGTGGGGCTCATGCCTGTAATCGCAGCACTTTGGGAGGCAAAGGTAGGCAGATCACCTGAGGTCAGGAGTTTAAGACCAGCCTGGCCAACATGGTGAAACAACACCTCTACTAAAAATCCAAAATATTAGCTGGGTGTGGTGGCACATGCCTGTAATCTCAGCTACTCGGGAGACTGAGGCAAAAGAATCGCTTGAACCTAGGAGGTGGGGGTTGTGATAATGCACCACTGCACTCCAGCCTGGTTGACAGAGTGTGAGACTCTGCCTCAAAATAGAAAAGAAAAGTACTTCAGGGAAAAGATATGAATGAAGATGCTAGGTGATAGGTAAAAAAAAAAATTCATTAATCCTGAAACATTTTTAAAAGAATTACATCAAGTTTATGTTGATTCCAAAAACAGTGTAAAATATCACATATTGTTAAATTTGTTATGAATATACTAATAAAAATAAATTATATAGTCAATGTGTACTTTATTAAAGATTATTCATCATAATAATGTTCTCAAGGGGAGTCTATTTGTACCCAAAACAGATAAGTCTTCCATCTTACCTCAATGACAGACTTCTCCAAAGATGTGATATCTCTAAGAGCTTCTGGATCTTGATGAATAACCACGGGGCAGCATGAGGTAGTGGATGCTGAGAGTGTCTTTGTCTTGAAAAGAAACAGGGTCAATAAGCACCTTTAGATTCTGGTACATAATTCAGTGAGAAAAGGCACGTAGGGAGCCTGTATAAAGACACAGGACATCATGTCAGTCATATGCAGTCATCAACAACTGACCTCATTTATACTGAGAAACAACTAAACATGTTAGCAACACAGTAACATGCACTGAAATGGGCATGAGGTTACGAAACACACCCCCTGAATGAGAAATGGCCTCACAGCCCTGAAGCATAAGCTGTAGGACTATAGACAGAAAAACCCAAAGCATCTCTAGAATTCTGAAGGATGTCTAAAACGGAAACAGGAGCACCTAATGAAATATCAGCCAAGTCAAGATGCACAGAGGACTGACTGCCCTAAACCTCAGAAACCTCATCTGTAAACTGGGGAAAACACGCTCTCCTTCACGGGATGAAGGAGATGAGATCAGGTCTGGAGAGGATCAGGCACAGGACCTTCTACAAAGCACATTTTCCTTCAGTTAAGGAGTAAATGGGAGCCTTATAGAGAGTAGCAGAAACAGGATTAAAAAAAAAGTTGAAGGCTTTCCACTTTTATATTATTTAACTAATATTTGAACTGATAAAAACATATATCAAACAACTACTTGCATGTTTTCCTCTCAACGCTAAGTCAAAGTATTTTTAATGAAATATTTGCTAGGACACGTATAAGCTAAAGAACATCCCCATTGTTTGCAATTAGGCGAATCCACATTAAGATGAGATATGTCTTACGTTGCACTGTAGATCCTCCTCCTCGAGCCAAGGGCCCTGACATATACTAGACTACCAGAGATTGGAAGAAAAAAATCCAGGATTTCTTAGTCCTTACTTAACATGTATAAGATTTCTGAAAAGAAACTACAGCTATAAGCTGTTATAAAACGTCTACTTCTCTTTTTGGTGGAATAACAGAGAATAGATAGAAAAAAAGGAGGCTGCAGCAAGTGGGTACCGAAGGCAGCACACAGGCCAAAGGGTACTAGAAAGAAGCCACCCATCTTACCATAAGTCTACAAAGAGAAAGCAGAACATTAAACAAGGTTTCTAGGGCCATGACACAATCTTCTTTCCCATTTTCACCATAAAGAATAAAAAGGAGACATAAATTTTAAACTGCTAAAATAAGTGTTTATCATTTAAAAAAAACAGTTGATTAAAAAGAGGCAACCCTCGAAGAGCATGCAGTACACAGACAGGGAACGAGGCAGAGTAGGAAGAAAGGGTCAAGACCACAGGCTGACTAGGGTGGCCCTGCAAGGCAGTGCAGGAAGCCTGGCCAGGATGTGCAGCTGCTGTCCCTCTATCCCCACCTGAGTGAGGCGAGCTGATAGGAAAGTAAAGCCTAACTGTAGGACTGAAAAAGGCTGAGGGCAGAATGGATCTACCCACAACAGACAGAAAAAGCTGCTAACTGAAAACTTTAAAGTGCCTTTAAATAAGATGTTTTATGTTAAAAAAGTTATGTACTGTGTATTAAAAAAAATGAATTCATTGTAGGAAAAATGAAGATAATGAAAAAATTTCAACCATGAATAACTTATCCAGAGATAACTACTGTACACATCTTAGCACACTTCCTGGATATGTGTATGTGAGATACACCTGCCAAAAATGAAATTACACTTGTGTTGCAGGGTTCTATTAATGCATTTTAAGCCATGACTGGCTGGGTGCGGCAGCTCACGCCTGTAATACCAGTGCTTTGAGAGGCTGAAGTAGGTGGATCACATAAAGTCAGGAGTTCAAGGCCACCCTAGCCAACATGGTGAAACCTGTCTCTACTAAAAATACAAAAATTAGCTGGGCGTGGTGGCACACACTTGTAATCTCAGCTCCTCAGGGGACTGAGGCAGGAGAATCATTTGAACCTGGGAGGTAGAGGTTGCAGTGCATTGAGATCCTGCCATTGCACTCCAGCCTGGGTCACAAGAGTGAAAGTCTGTCTCAAAAAGAAAAAAAAGACATGACTAACGGGTGGTGGGAGCTTTTACTGGGCCTATGGTAAAGAGACTTCACTCTCCCTGTTATACATCATTGTTATTTGTGTACCTTGCTGAAGCCCTGAGACCAGGACCTATGCTTTGTTCATCCTAAACCCACAACGGCTACATAGTTCTGTCCACAGCCAAATAACCAACTCCCTTGTGGTAAAAGGAAGGTGGTATTCCTCTCAATATTAAAGCCATACCTGCCAATATTTTTATAAAATATTTGCATGGTTTTATTTAAAATGTTAAGAGGTCTGCTCAGTTTGGTCCTGTTTGTGCCCTGACATTCTCCCTCCAATATATGTATGTAATTGTGTTGTGAAAAAAAAAATGCTAAATGACTTTTAGAACTTATAAATCCCTATGCCTCAAACGACAAATATAGTTAAAATGCAATGTGAAAGAAGAAAAACACAGCTTCAAAAGCTGACAGCATCTGAAAATGTTCCTTTCCCTTTGGGCTATTCTCATACTTCTTCTATTGTCAAACTTCATGTGCTTTTTGCTTTTCTCAACAGCAGTCTGCACTTACCTTTTATCTTCTGCGGTTCATTCTAATGTACCAATTGGCGAGAATATGTACAAACTCCACAAAGCGAGGCACCCCAGTGTAACGCCTATGAGCTAAAAATAAGTCAATCAGGCAGCAAATGAGTACCAGGCACCTGGCGGGGAGAGGGCTGGATATAACAAAGAACGGGCCCACGTCTTGTATCCAAGGGCCTCCACTTACTAAGAACCAAAATGAAGCAATCATGTAACGACCATTTGTCGAGGATGTGCTACATGGCAGTCAAGATGTTTCAAGATGCACACAAAAAACCATCCTGTGAGCCACATGAGAATTCCAACTGGTCAGTGAAAAAAGCCAAAAACTCCAAGATGTGTGGATCAAAGTCCAAGGCTGCTCACTACATAAATGTAGAAAATACCGTTTACAGGGAGGTGTGCAATTTGACAGCATAAACATTGCCCTACTCCCTTCTATTGCAGTATATTCGACTGCAACTAAAAGACATACGAAAACTCAAAGCAGATGCTAAAAGCCATAGCATAGGCCAGTGATTCTCAAACAAAAGCAACTTTGCTCTTCGAGGAACATGGGTCAACGTTTTAAGAAACAGTTTGCTTGCCACAACTTGGTGGGTAGAACAGTGCTACTGGAATCTAATGAGTAGACCCCAGAGATGGTGCTCAACATCTTAAAATGCACAGCACAGCCCCACCACAGAGGATGATCTGGCCCAAAGTGTCCATAGTGCTGCTGTTGAAAAACTGGCATAGGATATGAATAAAATATAACTTGCTTTCTAAGTATTAAAACGGTCAAGTAAAAACAGCAAAAGGGGTAGTGAAAGTCTTGAGAATTAGGAGGATTTGAAGGGTTCCCTGAAAAACTCAGAGGTCAGACAGGAAAGAAAGGGTGTTTAGCCAGTCCTGTCTGAGGCAAGGCTTATTTTAAGGATTCTCATTCACCTCCCCTTTAAATTGATACTCTGTTGAATAAAAACAAACACCAAAAGACCAGCACTTAGAAACAAACACAATTTATGATCATGAAAAGAATCCAGGGAGTTTTCATGAGGCTTCTGGTCTAAGCTAAAGAGATGAGATTTGCAACGGGCAGAGCTGCTCTCTGCTGCTGTTCACAAAGACCAGAACTCGGGTGCCAGTGGGCTGAGCCCCAGGCCAGAGTCTTTAGCTGGTCACACTTTCCTCGACAGGTGATTTCAGTGACTTAGGTCTGTCTAAATCATTTCTAGGGTTCATGCCACTTTCTACCTTCCAGGAAGCTCAGGTTTTCTATATTCTGGTTTGAACTCTAAGGGAATAATGATCTGCACATGCAATGAATGAACTTACAACATACCGGGGTGGCAGCAGCAGTAGCAGCAGCCACTACCCTGGCCACCGCCACCCTGTGAGCCAGGTCCTCTCACACCCACAGTGCTGCTGAGGGAGTGGAGGGCATGAAGCTGACAGACTGGTAGAGCTGAGGACTTAAATATGACCCACACAACGTGGCTGCTGATCTCTTGTTTCCAGGCAGATGAGGCTCCAGTCAGGGGGCACACTCTCCAGACCCAGCTTCACCAGGTTATGGCAGCTACTCCAAGCAACAATCCCCACATTTCCCACCCACTCGTGTCACTCGGGAGGGAAAAGCAGACACAGCAGCGAGCAGTCTAAGCAGAGTGTGCTGGACTCCCAGTGCTGCCCTCCTCAGGGCAAAAATCAGCCTCACACTCACTTCCATCTTCATCCATGTCCATCTGAGCAACAGCTGGACTGTCATGATCCTTCTACATTTTTAACAAGGTGAACAAATACTTTAGGGCGACTAATTAACAGTCTTTCTGTGCTACACGGGGCAGTACTGCCTTTCTCAGGGAGTGGCGTGTGCCAGTATATAGGCTAATGGTGAATCCCAGGTATGTGGCAGCTGCTGCTCTGCCCAGCAGCAGCAGGATCTGCAGGGTCCCATGAAGATGGATTTGCCTTGCCCTCTTTCGTCCTCACTGTGACCCAGGGCCTCTGCCTGACCACTTTAACTGATTTTCTGAGGTGTCCCAGATGTCTCACCTGGACCTATGGTTGTAACTATCTAAAACCCTGAGGAACTCAATGTAGTTTTCAATCTCTGTAATAACAAACTTACTGTTATTATTTAATAGAAATATAGCAATATGTCCATTTCAGTATTCCTCTTCTGACTTTTCTAAGTTTTCTGGAAAAGATGGGGATTATTCAGTAATAGACCTAAAAATAAGTTATAACTGTCATAAGTACCTATTATCTGCCAGGTACTTTATGTAAATCATCTCTACTTAAGCCTTACAAAGAGTACTGGGCATTTTGCAGATAAAGACACTGAAGGTCAAGATAGAATGAATGAGTAGCATCCGATGGCACAATGGGGTGATTACAGTCAATAATTTCTTGTACGTTTAAAAACAATTAAAAAAGTATACTTGGGATGTTTAAAGATACAATAAATGCTTGGGGTGATGGATACCACGTTTACCCTGATGTGATTATTACACATTGTATGCCTGTCTAAAAATATCTTATATACCCCATAAATATATATATATATATGTACCCATAAAAATTAAAAAAAAAAAAAAAAAAAGAAAGAAAGAAAAAAAAGCAATCTATGGTCAGACTTTAGGCAACTCTCTGCATTGGGAACAAGTGGTACAGCTGGACTCCGAATCCACAGCTATCAAACTCCAAAGCTCTTCTGTGGAGGGTTGAGCTCGCCAGGATACCCGCTAAAGAAAGAACTGCTCAGGGCTTTTTTTTTTTCTAAAAGATGAAGTTTCAATCTTGTCACCCAGGCAGTGGTGCAATCTCGAGTCACTGCAGCCTCTGCCTCCCAGGTTCAAGTGATTCTTATGCCTCAGCCTCCTGAGTAGCTGGGACTACACATGCCCACCTACATGGGAAGCTAACTTTTTCTTTAAAATATTTTTAGTAGAGACGGGATTTCACCAATGTTCGACAGGCTAGTCTGGAATTCCTAAACTCAGGTGATCTGACTCAACCTCCCAAAATGCTGGGGATTACACAGGTGTGAGCCACAAGCCAGGTCTGAATTCCCCAGGGCCTTGAAACAAAGAGATCCCAACAATTAACAAGCCTTAACAAAACTACATTTGAGAGGTGAAAGAAAGTAATTATTTAATTTTCTGTATCTTTCAATCTTTCCACTATGTTTATAGACAGATCATACCAAAAGGGCAGTTACAAAGAGAGTAGTTCTGGGAGGACAGACCAAGAGAGACTCACCTGCCATTTCAGTCTGAAAGAAGCCAATGAGAGACTGCATGAAGGACAAGATCCCACTGGTCTGTAATGTTAGGGCTTTTTCTAACCGTGTTCTCACTGTAGAGAAATTCTATTTCTTCTTCCTAGGAAGGAACAATCAGTTAAACACTTGCACATTGGGGTAAGCTACTATAGGGAAATAAACTTTTTAAATCACTTAAACAAAACCAAAAACAAAAATCCCAAAGCCCGCTGGCAATGTGAATTTCTGATTTTCAGCAATATTTTCAAGATAAGCACCAACGTAGGACATTAGGTCCTCAATTATGTTTTTGAGTGAACCGAAGAGAGTTTAGGAAAACATTACTTCTCTGCACCGAACAATAGTAATTAAGAATTGAGAGATATTCTACAACCTTGTCAGAAAGCCCACGGTTTAGTTACTTTAAACCTCAGGAAGGAAGGACAGTAAAACTGTCTAGGACTGAATGATTGTCCGCAAACTGAAAATGAGTACTGAGAAGTAACCGCCATACTAAAGCTGTTCGTGTTACCCGGAATGTTCTATCCCACCCTTTGCAAAATCCTCCTTGATCTTAAGTCCCTGCTCCACACACAAAACTCATGCCCTGCTTTGTTTCTCTGGCAGCAGCACAAGCAGGTTCTAGCACAGATATATTAGCTCCAGCATAGATATATCTGACATGGCTCTGTAGGTACAAAACTAAAATAAATGATGAAAGAGAATTTGAATACCAACAAGACAGGGAACCTAGAAAGGAAGTAAGGCAGAGGCAATTCGCATCTAGCCTGGGGAGGACTTGGACAGCCCCACAACACCCAACAGAGGTCCTCTTCCCCAAACAGACCTCTAGATTTAAAAATGCCTTTATTATCTAGAAAACTATTTGGGGAGTTGAAGATCAACAAGCATACCAACATAACACATAATTATAACAGAGACGTGTTGTTAAAAACCTAACTATAAACCAAATCTAAGAATTCTGACTAATAGTATAGGAGACGCTTACATGAAAAACTATAAATACACACAAGGCAAAGCACTGCTTTGTACTGAGGGCATCAGCACCACACTTCTGGATAATGAAAACTAGATCTGGATAACTCTTTGTCCATTGGCTCATTTTTTGGCCATCACTTGTAAAACAAAAGGAAGATGCCAATTAAGTCAGTCAATATCACAGATGACCTTGAAAGAAGGATACAAAGCATCTGCCAATAGAAATACAAAAGAGGAAATGGGAAGGAGTAATTTAGAAGTTAGTGCTAACAGGCCAGTCACAGTGCTTCGTGTCTATAATCCCAGCACTTTGGGAGACCGAGGCACGCAGATCACCTGAGGTCAGGAGTTCGAGACCAGCCTGGCCAACATGGTGAAACCCCGTCTTTTACTAAAAACACAAAAATTACCTGCATGTGGTGGTACACACCTGTAATCCCCACTACTGGGGACGTGGTTTTGTTAAGTTTACCATGATTTTGCTTGAATTGCTATCAATCTTCTTAGCTGAGGTCGACGTGAGCTGCATGGTGGAAGAGGGCGGCGCCTAAGAAGTCAGCTCTGTTTCAGAGGACAAAAGGCCTGGGAGCATCCACACAGGCAGGCACTGCGGGGAGGTCGCTCCCCTCCCAGTGGCCATTGTGGAGGGATTTCATAGAAATGCTCAAGGACTGTTCACATTTTGAATTGAGATCAAACCAAGAACTCATGAGGGATATTGGACAGGAGTTAGAAAACTAGTTTCTCACACAACTGGAGCAATGAGGGGAGAACCCTGGGCTTGAGACTGCAATCCACCGCCTTCCCTGCGGTGTGGCCCCGGTTACGTTGTCTTGCATCTCTGCCTGCATGTCCAATTGTCTTCAGAAGGGGCAAATGCTTCATAAGAGCCAACAGAAAGTGTTTCAGGAAATCATCAGTGTGTACCCGTCCATCTGAAAGCGTCTTCCCTTCCCGAAGCCCCTCCCATCAGTGCAGAATTACTGCAGCCCAGCAGGGAGTGACGTGTGTGTGTGTGTGTGTGTGTGTGTGTGTGTGTGTGTGTGTGTGTGTGTGGAGATTTTGTTGCTGTGCTCTGAGTACTCCTCATCTCCTCTGACCAGTTTCCTAACACTCCTCCTGTGCACAGCACAGAACGCGAGTGCTCTTTCCTGCCATTTGAATGCTGATACATGGTCAGTGACTCGCAGTGTGAAAGCGAGAATGAAGCAAGTTTTTTTTTTTTTAAAGACAGGCTACAAAAATTCCCATGCTGAGAACCACGTGTGATGACACTGAATTCCAAAGAGCAAGGATGTATGGTGAAGATGAGGCCAGCAGTGAGCTGAGAGGCCAGCCAGGATTTTGACATGCACAGGGGTGCATGGGCATGGGGATGGGACATGGGTGGAGAGCATCCCGGCTTGTCTCAGAATGGATGTGGGTAGTAGATTCCTAACTCCTGGAGAAACCAGAGCTCTAGGAATTGCAGGCCGCTATATGTTAGGAAAGAAAAAGATGGTGTTCTGTCCTCCTGTCCCTTACATCTGCGCCTACTGCTACTAAACCTGGAAGCTGAGAAGGGTATAATGGTGACTCCTGACTTCACGACATGAAATCAGACTATTTCTTTTTTTTGCAACGGTTGTGTTTGGTGGTGAAGCCAAGATTCACACTTCAGTCTCCTTACTGCAGGTTCTCACTCTCACGGGAAAGTTAACAATAATGACTTAATATGCTACACTTTTTTGGGAAGAGTTACTAGATAAAGTTCAAGATCCCAGTGAGCGGTGAATAATACAGATAAAGGACAAAGGGGTTTTCTGTAAAAGCATACTCTAATTATCATATGAATCCCAATTGCAATAAAAACTAATCTACTGTTTATCTTGAATTCAAATTCCACTTGGCATTCCCTATTCATATTTGCTATATCGGGCCACTCTTCTTCCATGCAGTTTTAATTTTAAAAAACAGTACAACATCTCATTCTAGCAATTTACCTACAGAAATAAAGACAGGAACCACATTACTACTGAGACAAACACAGTCACTGCAAATATCAGAATACTGGAACATACTAATATATTAACTTTCACCCAAAAAAACCAGAAAGCATTTGCAGACATCAAAAATAGCTTCATTATCCTTTTGTTTGTATAATATATCTCTGGAAAGATGAAAAACAATCAGAACACTCGTTTGTTACAGGAAAGAAAATGTTGTGGACAGGAAAAAAGTGGGAGGAAGACTGGTCACTGCCTATACCACTGTGTACAATTTGAATTTGGAACCATGCAAAAGAATTGCTTGATTAAATTAAAATCATTTAAAAGATAAAAAATAAACATTTAATACCAGCACAATATGCTGGAAAACAAAATGAAAGGCTTTCTGGCCGCATTGCCACTCTTTCCCAGACTGAGGCTTGCTAGTAAAGGGTTTCTGCCTGAACCAGGCAGAGGATCCATATGTGGATCATCTGACAAACACAAGGGTTCTTAGGAAGTGTTCTAAATTGTGTTTAGGACGTATAGCCCCTAAACGTTGAGATTCATCAAGAGTGGGAAAGAGCCCAAGTGGGAAGGAGCATGGGTTGAGAAACACAAAAGTAGGTCTGTTGACAAAAAATGGAAGTAAAGGGGACATCAGGTTGAAGCTTTGTGCTGTGAGCCAGAGGGACAACTTAAAAGTTGCCTAAAGAGGCGCACACAGTCTGTGCTGCTGCCCTCCGGCTGGAAGGGAACCGCAGTTCTTCCCTACTGGCTGGAGCCCTTCACAGAGTGTCCCCCACCCCTACCACTAACTGCTGCACTGCCCCTCCCCCTCTGCAGAATGTCTGGGGTCCTATGTTCTAAACCTATTTACTTTCAAATTCTAACTGATCCACCTGAACTCAGCAGAATCTGTTGAGGCAGGTCACTCTCTGAGTCCTGCTCTTGATTTTTCTCATTGTGGAAACCGTCAGATATCGGTGAACAGCACCCAGCCTGAGGAAATGGCTTCAGATGAAGGTAAGTATGTAGGGACAAGGGCTTCATCCAAGTCTCTGCCATGTTTCAAATCCTTGGGAATTCAAGTTTCACACAGCCCCAGGGGACAGTTGGTAGGGCTGGTGTCGAGGAGGGAGGGAGATCTGGATGTCCCCAAAGACACCACACCTGGGGAGGGCCGTGCCACCCTGAGTCTGCAGTTAGGGAGGATGGCAACTTGGAGGTGGACCAAGATGCCTGGGGGAATACACCACATAGGGGAAAGGATGGAGTGGACGTATTGATTCTTTCTAGAGGGCGACAGGACACGTCACCATTTGTTTGTAGAGAGTGGTGGGATCGTGCTGTGCTGGTGGCCCAGGGAGGATGACAAGCAAGCCTGTGAGCCCTGTGTTGTGTCTTCAGGCACCTTGAACGTGCCCTTCCACAGTGTTCAGGGGGATTTGGACTGGAGTTTTCTGGATCTTAGGGAGGAGTGGGGAGAAGTGGTCTCAGCCAGAAAACCGTTGGGTGTGTTGGCTGTGACAGAGCACGCACTGACAGCCTCCGGGTGGGTGAGGCTGGGGCTACTGTAACTGCCGAAGCCTCTCAGCTCCCTCCCTAGAGGTGGCTTCTCTGTCAGTTCAGGTAAGCTGTTGGCTTTAACAGGAATGGCGGCAGTTGGGGAAGTTCAGGCAACACGGCCTGGGCTTCCCAGGATGTTCTGAATTGTTTGTCCTTTAGTGGAAACTCAGGTCTTCAGACCCACTTCCTCTTGCCTGCCAGCTCATGGCCTGTCCTCTGCACTTTGTGTTACTGTAGAGAGGAAGAATTTACTTCTATTCCATGTCTACTACCTCACGAACACGGGACAGGTGTGGACTCTTGCTGGTCCTCGGTGGAAGGGTCTGGAAAGACTAGTTTCCTTTTCAGTGGAGAAAGGAGAGTAGTGCAGAAATAGGAAGAGGGTCCTCTTATTATTATTACTGTTCAATTAGGATGTGTGTCCTGACTGATGAGGTGCATGTGCTGTATCCCTATCCCCCTTGACTGGAGACTGCATGAGGTCCTAGTGAACAGGGATGAGCTCCAGACAACTTTGCCACACCTGGCCTGTGGCCCAAGAACCTCTGGTTCTTGGTTGGTTACTATATTTAGTTACTGGGAGCTCAAAGGAAAAGGACCAGAGATGGGCTCGTTGTCCCATGACCTACTGTAACATGACCAGCAGTTGTGAAAATCCCTGGACACCTCCCCTGACAGCCCCACTGCTCACCGCTTGCTGGCTGTGCTCTAATCGTGTGCCGCTGTTGCTGACTACCAAATGACAGTATCTCAGGGAACTCCACCACTGCTTCTCAGACCTGCTCCCTGGGAACAGAGCTTCCTGAGTGGCAGCCAGGACCACCGAGCACTGAGGAAAGTATAGTCTGACTCTGACCCATGTTTGGCACTTGCTGGGCATGGTGCCAGCACAATCACTTGCACACTGGGTGTGATGCGTATGGGTTATCTTCAGGGTTCACAGGGTGCTGGCTTGGGAGAGATTTCTGTCCACTGGTTTTCTTTCACTGTTTCTTTTTTAAGATGGAGTCTTCCTCTGTCACCACGCCAGAACTCAGTGGTGCAATCTTGGCTAACTGCCAGGCCCTCTAGTGAAGCGACCCTCCTGTGGAGGAGGAACAGAGCATGCGATGCACACTCAGGGACACTTGCAAGCTGCAGATTCCCTGTCACACACCCTCAGCTGTAGGACACCCCTCTGATTCCCCAGTGACTAGGGCGGACCTGGAGACCCCAGCTCATCCACCTCTTACCTTTGTCTCCACAGCATGCCCAGTGCTGGAACCAGCTGTGACAGAGAACCCTGGCGCCTCCTTGCCAGTGTTCACGGCTCTGTCCTGCGCCACACCTGCTCCCGGCCCAGCACACGGGCCGCCCCTCGTGACTACAGTGGTTCCTCCAGTGCTGCCTGCCTTCCCCAGGACCCCTCTGGTGGCAGGACAGGATGGCCGCGGCCCACATTGGACTGGGGCTTCCAACGTCTTTGGCCAGATAACGACAGAAATGGGGCCTGTGAAGGCCCCTCAGGCACAGACCTCGGTCCAAACTCAGGCCCCCCTCGTCTGGCAGGCTCCAGGTGCCGTCTGTGAGGGCGTCGCTAGTCCACCAGCCCGACCCCTGGCAGCTGCCCCTGTGGTGCCCGCTATGGCTGCCCACATCATTGGGGGCACCCAGGCCTGTGAGGGAGGCTGGTCCCAGGGCCTTCCTCCTCCAGCACCACCACCGGCTCCCCAGCTGGCCCCCACCATGGCCCCAGGGAATGCTTGTCCATGGCCACAAGGGGCTCATGGAGAGGGCAGCCAGGCCCCCTCCCAGGCCAACGCCCAACCGGACCACTCCTGCAACCCCAAGAGTGTGTATGACGACTTCCAACTCTGGCAGCGCTACAAGCCCCTGGCCCGGAGGCACCTTCCCCACAGTCCGGACACGGAAGCGCTTTCCTGTTTCTTCATGTGAGTGTCATCGGGGCACCGGAGCTCATCCTGCAGCTCACCCATAAAGAGGCTGCCGGATGGACGGGAGATCACGCTGTTCAGGGGATCTTGTGGGGCGGTCTGGAAGGCGATGGGTTGAGCTACGGAAGGGCACATTTTCAGCAACATTAATCTGGCTGCCGCTCAGGACAGACTCTCAGGGGCCTCACCTCACCTGCCCCTCACTGTCCCATGAGTCCAGCCAATCCTTACAGGGCAGGTATTTGAAGCTTTGCCCTCGATCCCTTCTAGAAAAAGGGACAATGATGCTTCATTCAGAGGATGGTGAAGAGGTGACTTGAGCTCACATATGACGCATGTAGCACAGTGCCAAGCACAACATGCTGTGACACATTACATGACAGCTGTTATGATTACCACCCCCACTGCTATCATTATCAGAACTAGGCTATCTAGGACAACACTCTCCAAAGCCACCGGCTCCAGCAGCCCAGGGCCGTAAACTGTGGTGACTGAGGCAGCAATGCCAGCATCTGAGAGTTTGTTGATTCAGTCCCGTCCTGCCTCTCTCCATCCTGCAGTGCCTCTGTGACCCCGTGTCGTCCCCCCCCCCACCCCCCGGCGATGAGCAAACCCGTACTCCACGGGAGCTTGAGCACATCCACCAGGCAACACACTGGCAACTCCCCTAGGCAAGTCCCCTGCCCAGAGCCCAGAGTGTAGGTGTAAGGAGGCCCCATCTTTGTCCCAAAAAATCTTGCCGCCCTGCATCCTGGAACTGGTTGCATTCTCCCTTGGAGCTCAGTCCCGGTGCACTGGGGACCCTGATTCTCACAGTGCAGTCGCCACAGGCTCACAGGCTTGGCGTGGACTGGGCTTCGAGGCCGCTCTGCTTTGGTTCTGGTTTCTGCTCCTCTCCAGAACCCTGAGGCTGCATCCCCAAGGGCTGCCTTGCTCCAGAGTCCTCAGGAAGCTGGTTAAATGCTCACTCCCGGGGCCCTGGAACCTGCACATTAACCCTCCCTCCGCAGTCATTCTGTGTGTACGCTGTCTCAGCCAGTTCGAGCTCTACCATAACAAATCCTATAGACTGGGTGCTTTATCAGGACACATTCACGTCTCCCAGTTCCAGAGACCGGAAGTCCCAGAACAAGGGGACAGCAGACTGGTGTCCTAGCTGGACAGGGTTGCCTCTGGCTATGTCCTCTTGCGGCTGAGAGGGAGAGCCCTGGTGTCTCCTCCTGCCCTTATCGGGGCTCAGATGCCATGATGGGAACCCACCCTCATGACCTGCTCTAACCCTGATGAACTCCAAGAACTGAAATACCGGGGCTTAGGGCTTCAGCACAAGAATGCTGGGGACACTCACGTTCTACCCATAGTACTGAGTTCACTTGTCAACACTGTAACACTGAGGACTGGAGGGGCAGTTGCAGAGGCCAGCCTGTGGCTTGTGTTGATGATTGATCTTGGGGGCATATCCCACCCACGTGGGGGAGAACAGGACAGGGACAGATGGCAGGAAAGGTATGGGGGGGACGGACCGGGTGTTGGGACCAGGTGGGCTTGGGATGGAGGGTGGGCTTACGGACTGGGACTGACTGCACTGCCTTACAGCCCAGTTCTCAGATCCCTGGCCCAGCAGGAGCCCAGCATGACCCTGGAGGAGGGACTGCGGTGGGCCATGCGGGAATGGCAGTACACGAGCAACTTGGACCGGATGATCTACTATGAGATGGCGAGAAAGTGAGTCTAAGGTGTAGGGACCGAGCCCACATGGCAGGGGGAGAGAGGGTGAGAGGCCCGGTGGCCGTGGTGACTTCTCAGCGTGAAGCATGAGAAGGGTGTGGACAAACACAGGCCCTCCTGGGCCCCGGGCTCCTTTAGGAAGCTGCTCCTCCGTCCTAGAGTGCTCTGGGGTCTCTATCCTGCCCTGGTGGGAAGCCAGACCCTGCCTGGCCTGAGGCCAACCCCTGCCTGACACTAAGGGTCAGGGAGGGAGCAGCCAGCACCACAGCCCAAAGGAGATCACCGACAGCTGTGAGGATGGGGAGAAGGGGCGCTGGCAACTATAGACAGAGCGGGCTGCACTCTCCTGACAGCAGTGGCCAGAAGTCGGTTTTCACCCATCCTAGCCAGGAGTGAAGAAACCTGCGCTGGGTCAGGGGAGACCTGAGTCCAGGACACCATGAGATCCATCTCTGGCCTGCCTGCTTTCGCTCCTCGTAGTCCCCTCCTTTAAGACAGAAAGACAGCAGCCTTAGGAAAAAGGGGCCCTGTCTTTTGGGCCCAGCTTTTGCTTCCTCCTGACCAGGGGTCTCCCAGGCCTCATCTTCCTGGGTTATCCTTCAGCGATCCACAGTCCCAACCTCAGGACTCCTGCGTCTGGGCAACATCATGGACGCCTTCTATGAGAAACCCCACCCCTGGACAGCTGAAGGCTGGAGTGGGGGCACCCGTGGTGCCCTCCTGGGCCTTGTAGCCCTCACTTAACTCAGAAAGCCCTGTGGATGCCATGGGCTCTGTAGGGGCCGGGTGAGGGAGGGAGAGCCCAGAACTCTGGGAGCAGTTCCCTCTGGGACTGGGGGATGGGCCCCAGGGAGGGCCTGGACAGCACGCCCGAGGCACGCCATCCCATCTCTGCCATCGGCTGCTGCCTGGCCCTGGGGGAAGGGGTCTGGACCCTCTCAGCACGGCCTGCATCTTCTTCACCCCAGGTTCCTGGAGTTTGAGGCTGAGGAGGAGATGCAGATTCAGAAGTCGCAGTGGATGAAGGGGCCCCAGTGCCTGCCTTCTCCAGCCCTACCAAGGCTTGAACCTCAGGGACCCTCAGCACCTGGGGTGGCTAAGGAGCCAGGTACGGCTTCCCACATTTCCACAGGAGCCACAGCAAAGTCCACAGGGGTCAAGGGAGGCCACTGTCCCCACACCCCATGCCTCCCTTCAAGAGAGGGATTTGTTCCAACAAGACAGCTCAGGGGAGCCGGGGGGCTGGGAGGCCTGTGGTCATGAAGTGGGTATTCACCTGGTCACGTTTCCTAACTACTCTCTCCCCTCGCCATTCCAAAACTCAACAATCTGCCCAGGAAGCAGGGATGAGCGGGTAGAGTACTCAGCATATCAGTGACTTCCAGCTTCCTCCAAAATGATGCTGTCTCACAAACGCCCCTCCTATGGCGTCTCTTTCAGGGGTGCTGTGGTTCAGGTGGCTGAGCCCTGCCCTCCCCTGTGTGATGCAGGCAGGAGGAGCAGCCCTCACCATGCCCATCCTCCTCCCTCCCTGCCTCAGTGTACCTTCCCAGCAAGGCCGGCCCCAAGGCCCCGCCTGCCTGCCTGCCACCACCCAGTCCCCAGCAGCCAGTGGAGACCAAGGCCCACCTGCCACCACCCAGGACCCAGCAGCCAGCGGAGACCAAGGCCCCTGAGGAGATACCCCCTGAAATGGTACAGGAGTGTGTGGACATCATGGAGGAGCTGATGGGGCCTCCCGCTGGGGCCACTAGGGAGCTCCAGGGACAGAGGAAAGAGGGCGAAGTGGAGCAGGAAGGGGACGGGATGCTTCTAGACCCAGGCATCCTGAGCTACGTCAACGATCTGTGTTCCCAGAAAGACTTCGTCACCAAGGTGGGCTGGCCTGAAGTGCTGGGGTCTGCAGAATTCCAGGGGCGTGGTACTCGCAGGTCCTTGGAATTAAGCTCTGTTTCTTAGCTACTCCGCAGTAGATGGGTGTCTGTGTCGCTGTCGATTTGAGGGTTTGTGTATGTGATTATGTCTGTGTCTTTGTATCTGTGACTGGTTACTCTGTGTTGGTGTGGGTGTGAGTGTGAGGGTGTATGTTACTTGTGTCTAGTTTCCTGTGTCATATGTGGGTCTGTTTGTGTGTCTCTGTCAGCATGTGTGTATGCTACGAGGTCTGTGGTCTGTGTGTGGAGCTGGTGGTCGCCAGGACGTGAGACAGCTTCAGAAGGGTGAAGACGGGGCGCTCACTGCTTTCTGCATCTCCTCCAGGTGTGCTTGGCTCCACCTTACTCCCTGATCCAATTCCTGGAAGAACTGCTTTCCCCAGATCCACAGATGGACTTCTTGGCCGTAAGCCAGGAGCTGGAGCAGGACGAAGGACTTACCTTTGCCCAGGTAGAGCAAGGAGGGGAACCCAGGTACACTGGGGGCAGGAGGGAACCGGCACACAAGCCCCACCTGACTGCTTACCCGACCCTACGGGGGGATGCTCGGCTTCTTGGGGGGCCACTCTGAGGTGGGGAGGTGCAGGTTCAGGCAGAGCAGGATGGAGAGGAGCCAGGGAGGGGAATCAGGATGCAAACTGCAGTGAGGCCCAGCAAGATGCCCAGCAGAGCCACACCCTCTGTCTTTGACAGGAAGCCCAGCTGCCTCAGCCTTCCCTGCCTGCCTCCCAAGTGCCTTGGTCTCCACCACCCCGGACCCTGTTCACACTTGGGGCAGTGCCAGAAAATGCCCTGTTTCCTCCCACAGGTAGCAGAGAAGCGCCTCCAATCCTCAAAGGAGGAACGGTGTGAGAGGGTAGCCCCTAATCATGTCACCATCCAGCTGGACTCAATCTCTTCTAAGTCTGCAGCGGGCCAAGGAGCAGAGAGAGATGTCCCTGGCCTCCAACAAGGGGTCAGCATGGAAACCTGCCCAACCCAGACGGCTGCCCAGGACCCTCAGGGACAAGGCAGAGTGTGCATTGGGGTGGCCAAAAACCCTGTGGTGCTCTTGGAGAGGCTGGATTCTGGCAGGCTGAGGGCTGCCCAGACAGACTCTCCTCCCCAGGACCAGAGACCCACCTGCCCAGCTGTGGGGACCCAGGACACCTGGGGTCTCCCTGGGGCCTCTCCTGTCAAGGAGTCACGCAGGCTGTGTAAGGGGTCAAGTGAGGAGGAGAGGAAAATCCCTGGTATGGTTACCGTTGTGGGGACCAACTACAGGCTGAGGCCCTGGAAGCTGTCCCAGAGCCCTGTCCCTGCCTCGGGCCTTCTCAGTCCAGAAGGGCGGAAACCCCAGGGAGCTCTTCAGTCCCAATCTGTGAAGAGAAGAGGCCTGAGCCCAGCACTGGCTCCCACCACCAAGTCCAAGAAGCGAGCTCTCTTCAGAGGCCCATCCCCTGCTGTTCAGATGCCCAAGGGGTCAAGTGAGGAGGAGAGGAAAATCCCTGGTATGGTTACTGTCGTGGGTACCAACTACAGGCTGCGGCCCTGGAAGCTGTCCCAGAGCCCTGTCCCTGCCTCGGGCCGTCTCAGTACAGAAGGGCGGAAACCCCAGGGAGCTCTTCAGTCCCAATCTGTAAAGGGAAGAGGCCTGAGCCCAGCACCCGCTCCCGCCACCAAGTCCAAGAAGCGAGCTCTCTTCAGAGGCCCATCCTCTGCTGTTCAGACGCCCAAGGGGTCAAGTGAGGAAGAGAAGAAAATCCCTGGTATGGTTACTGTCGTGGGTACCAACTATAGGCTGCGGCCCTGGAAGCTGTCCCAGAGCCCTGTCCCTGCCTCGGGCCGTCTCAGTACAGAAGGGTGGAAACCCCAGGAAGCTCTTCGGTCCCAATCTGTAAAGGGAAGAGGCCTGAGCCCAGCACCCGCTCCCGCCACCAAGTCCAAGAAGCGAGCTCTCTTCAGAGACCCATCCTCTGCTGTTCAGATGCCCCACCTAAGACCTGGGCTCAGAGTCTCTGGGGCACAATCCCTGGCTTGGGGGCTGGGTAACCCCTCACAGTCTGGAAAGAGAAAGGGTGACCCCTTGCTCCCTAAGAGGAAGAAAAAGCATCGGAGCCAGTAGAGTCAGGGCAGACTCTGGTGCTGATCCCCACGGTGGGGCTCTCAACTCTCCGGCCCTCAGGGCATCAGGTGCCCCGATCAAAGACTTCTCCCCCAGTGCTGACCTTGCTGGGCCTTAGCTTGATGGGGGATGGTGGGAAAGGAAAGGGTGGGAGGGAGGCTGAACTGGAAGGGAGGGCCTAGGGGTAGGGGGTGGGGAGCAATACCTTGGGGGTCTCCTGTGTAAATCTGAATAAACATAGTTGTGTTGGAAATGCTCTCCGGGCTGCTGCCTCTGTCCTCAGGGCTCTGCTGCTCAGTGGAGGGGGTCTGTGAAGGAGTGCAGAGGAACCGGGAGATGCCAGGCACTGGGGACCCACGGGGGCCAGCCCCACTGGTTCCTCCAGGTGTAGGTTGCCCCTTCAGATGTTCCAGGAACTGACAGATGCTGAGGAAACCCTCATCCCTCCCACCACTCACTCACAAGGCCCCGACTGCTTTAGTTATCAGCATCCCTGGAAAATCCTGGGATGTTGAGAGCTGGCTGGCTCTTGTTCTGCCCCGTGGGAGCTGAGGAGAAGGCAGCTGCCCGCAACATGGACACGGGGAGAGGCGGTCACTCTTGCTTAATCCTCATCAGGAAGAGCTCAGGCCCTGGGCTGAGGGGAGATGTCGAGGCATCCATCCACATGGGTGTGTTTGGGATACGACGGTGGGTAGGGAGCAGGGGGAGTCCTTCTGCTGGTTTCTAGACAGGAAAGACTCTTGTCCAACTGGCGGAAGCAGATGCTCCTTGCGGTGGCCACAGGGACTGGCCTCAGGGGCACTTGGGGTCCTGCATGGAGCCCCCCACAGCTACGATTCCCTTCCTATATGATTAGTGAACTCTTGTGAGGAACTGATGCAGACACAGATTTGAACCCAAGATGTGGATGTTGCAGTGAGCCGTGATAGCACCATTGTACTCCACCCTAAGCAACAAGAGCAAAACTCCACCTCAAAAATAAAAATAAAAATAAATTAGCTGGGCTAATCCCAGCTGCTCCAGAGGTTGAGGCAGGATAATCACTTGAACCCGGGAGGCGGAGGTTGTGGTGAGCCAAGATGGAGCCATTGCACTCCAGCCTGGGCGGAAAGAGCAAAACTCCTACCAAAAAAAAGAAAAAAATAATTATCCAGGCACAGTGGCATGCTCCTGTAGTCCTAGCTACTTGGGAGGCTGAGGCAGGAGAATTGCCTGAACCCGGGAGATGGCCACCATCCCACCCAGCTAATTTTTCTGTATTATTTGTAAACATGGGGTTTCACTACATTGGCCGGGCTGGTCTCACAACTCCCGATCTCGGGCAATCCACCCACCTCAGCCTCCCAAAGTGCTGGGATTACAGGCGTGAGCCACCATGCTCAATACATCTCTTTCAATCAGCTTCTGCACAGCAGAGGAAATAAACAACAGAGCAAAGAGACAACATGTTGAATGGGAAATGATGTGTGCAAACTATTCATGACGAAGGACTAAAATCCAGAACACGTAATGAGCTCAAATAACCAACAGTCAATAACAACAAATAATCCCATTAAAAAATGAGCGAATGACATCAGAAACATGCAAATGGCCAACTGATAAAAAAATGCTCACATCAGTAATCACCAGGTGCAAATCAAAACTACGAGATGCCTACCACCTTACCACAGTTAGGATGACTATTCTTAAAAATACAAACAGCAGATGCTGACATGATGCAGAGAAAAGGGAACTCTTACCCACTTAGGTGGGACTGGAAATTAGTAACGTTGTTATGAAAACCACTATGGAGATTTCTCAAAACACTAAAAACGAAACTACTACATGATCCAGCAATCGCACCACTGGCTATTTAACCAACATAAAAGAAATCAGTATATCAATATACACTCACATGGTTATCACAGCACTACTGACAACAGCAAAGGAAGCAACCCAAGTATCCACCAATGAGCAGAAAAGGAAAACGTGGCATATATACAAATGGAATGCTATTCAGCCAGAAAAAAACACCAAAGCACGTTGTTTGCAGCAACATGGATGAAGCTGGAGGTCATTATGTTAAGTGAAATAAGCCAGGTCAGCCATAGAAAGAAAAACATCACACATTCTCACAGACATGTGGGAGTTAAAATCAACAACGACAACAAAAAAAAGTTGACTTCATGGAAACAGAGAATACAATGACAGGTATCAGAGGCTGGGAAGGGATGGGGGTGAGGAAGAGACGTTGGTTAATGGGTACAAACGTACAGTTAGAAACAGTACAGTTTACAGGACAGTAAATTCTATTGTTCTATAGCAGACTACCGTCACCATAGTTAGGCTGGAGCGCAACGGCGCGACTTATTTGCAGTATGTTAGCAAATACCTATTGTGTATTTCAAAGTAGCTAAAAGAGAAGGCTAGAAATGTTACCAGCACACAGAGATGGTAAATCTCGGCCAGGCACCGTAGCTCACGTCTGTAATCCCAGAACTTTGGGAGGCTGAGGCAGGCAGATCACCTGAGGTGATCTGGCCAACATGGTGAAACCCTGTCTCTACTAAAAATACAAAAATTAGCCCAGCATAGTGGTGCATGCCTCAATCCCAGCTTACTCCAAAGGCTGAGGCGGGAGAACTGCTTGAACTAGGAAGGCAGCGGTTACAGCAAGCCGAGATTGCACCACTGCACTCCAGCCTGGAAAACAGAGCAAGACTCTGTCTTAAAAAAAAAAAAAGATAAATACTCAAGGTGATGAATACTCTAGGTACCCTGACTTGATCATTACACATCCTATGCATGTAACAAGTATTCACATGAGGCCGGGCACGGTGACTCCCGCCTATAATCCCAGCTCTGTGGGAGGCCGAGAGGGGTGGATCACCTGAGGTCAGGAGGTCAAGACTAGTCTGGCCATCATGGTGAAACCCAATCTCTACTAAAAATACAAAATATTAGCTGGGTGTGGTGGCACATGCCTGTAATCACAGCTACTCGGGAGGCTGAAGCAGGAGAGGGCTTCAATCCGGGAGGTGGAGGTTGCAGTGAACTGATACCGTGTCATTATACTCCAGCATGGCAAACAAGAGCAAAACTCTGTCTCAAATAAAAAACAAACAAAAACAAGTATTCATCATATGTATCCCACAAAGATGTAAAATAGTATACAGTAATAAAAGGAAACGACTGCTAGGAATTTAGCAATGTACTTCTATGCAAAGGCTTAAAACGGATATATAACATCTCAACATAAGTGAGAACATACAGTTACACAACTTGTTTTTCTTACTAAATGCTACATTTTCCCTGTAATACAGTAAGCCCTGGGCCCTCTTATCCCTTGACTCCACTTCTGTGGATTCAACTAACCTCACATTTTTAAAATGTGATGGACCCACCACAAAAGTTTAACCCAACCTTGACCTCAGAGTCTTCCTAAATGCTCACTGAAGAAAATTTTCCAGGCCGAGAGGGGTGGATCACCTGAGGTAAGGAGGTCAAGACTAGTCTGGCCATCACGGTGAAACCCAATCTCTACTAAAAATACAAAATATTAGCTGGGTGTGGTGGCACATGCCTGTAATCACAGCTACTCGGGAGGCTGAAGCAGGAGAGGGCTTCAATTCAGGAGGTGGAGGTTGCAGTGAGCTGAGATCGCTCCGGGGCCTCTCTTCTGCTCAGAGATGTCAATACAGAACCTCAGTAACATGACTTTCAACCCTAGTACCAAATTCCCCCCTTGCCTTCTACCAGAAGATTCATTCCAACAACTGGATAGAAGAGAATCTTCCAGGACATCAGAGATGGCTTGCCTTAGGAGTAGGCGAAGTAAGAACACTGCTATCTATGCAGAAAGAAAACAGGGTAAAACTGAGATACCTGTTCCTCAACAGATTTCCTTGGCTTGAAAAAGAACTAGTAGACACTGGCCTAATGGGAGTTCAAAACCCATCAAGAAGAGAACCATTCAAAGGTGGCTGCAGTTTCTGTGTGGATCATAGCCTGAGACTGCTAGAACAGGGAATCATGACACCAAGCCAGTTCAACCACTAACTATTATTCTTGTACTTTTCTTGCTGGTAATTTTACGTACCAGGTTGAGAAAGCTACTCTACACTAGGACAGCCTATATACCAATCATCTTGATAAAGAGTTCTGTGATGTCTTTTCTGTTATCTTTCCCTTTCTACCTTGATACCAGTAATTTATGAGACCTATGCAGCTTGAATATGTTTGAGTAACTTCAACATACTTTAGCTCTCCTCTCTGACGTTACCCAAAGAGCCAGTAGGTCCTAAGATTCCCATGTGTGTCAGAAGCCTGAAGTTAGTGAGATGAAGCCCAACATCAAGAATTGGAGTAAACCGACTTGTGGGGCAAGAATGTAAAGAAAACATTGGGTAGTTTGGCTACAGTATAATTAAATTGTCTTGTTTTCGAAAGTTTGAACTCCAATAAGGACTTTCAATGTGCTATTTTTGCAATTTTTAGTAACAAATGTGTGTATATGGAAACAATAAAACCGACATATTCGAGTAACATTTAAAAAAAATTTTTTTTTCCTTAAAAAAAAAAAAAAAAAAGGCTGCATGATGAATCAGGTACGCGGCTTTGGCCCAGTATGAAGTGGAGCTCAATTTCAACCCAGATGCTTCTGACTTGGAAGGCCATTCTTCCAAGCATCTTTTTTCTAGTATGTTAGATATACATTCTGACTCCAGGTCCAACTCCAGAGACTACACTGTTTTCACAATACCATGTCTTCTAAACTGAACAAAATACCTGCACAAAATAGTTGATTCTCTTCTTCCAATTTCTTTTCATTCAGGAAAAGGAAACACATTTAATGAAGCATCCTATAAATATAAACAAATACAGTGTTAAGATTTAAATGCTTTCTCAGTAAACATTATTTTAAATGATAAACCAAAAGAATGTATATCTAAGGGCTGGGCACAGTGGCTCAAGCCTGTAATCCAGCACTTTGGGAGGCCGAGGCGGGTGGATCACGAGGTCAAGAGATTGAGACCATCCTGGTCAACATGGTGAAACCCTGTCTCTACTAAAAATACAAAAAGTTAGCTGGGCATGGTGGAGCGTGCCTGTAATCCCAGCTACTCAGGAGGCTGAGGCAGGAGAATTGCCTGAACCCAGGAGGCGGAGGTTGCGTTGTGAGCCGAGATTGTGCCATTGCACTCCAGCCTGGGTAACAAGAGCGAAACTCGGCCTCAAAAAAAAAAAAAACAAGGACACCAATGACCAACAAACAAATGGCATTGCAATGGCTATTTCAGGAAACATCCATTTACACTGTTTCCTGGATTTCAGACATAAAAACATGACTGAAGACATATACTGGCCCTATTGCCTTGACAATTCATAACCATTGTAACAGTTACCATTTCGCTACTCAGAAGATTATAAAGAAACTGTATTTTTCATAAGACTCTATGACCTATTACCTATAACTCTGACATACACATATCGTACAACCTTAATATATAATGATAAAATCTGATAACCAACGTTCTGTAAATTACCAGCTATTACAACATTTTGCTGTTTGCCTGTTAACCAAGCTGAGGTGGGGAAGGGGAAGTTGGAAGAAGCCTCATTTCACCTGCCCTTTCCAAAATTTCACTTCAGGAGTGTTCAAAATCTCAGTATGCCCTGGGATCAATCTCCAAGTTCGTCTAATTTTCACTGCTTAACAAAAGCGGTGTAGAAAGCAATTACTGTACCCTCCACCAATCTTTTCAGATTGCACAGAATTCCTTCCAGAAAATTCCAATAGAAAAAAAGACAGGTATTCCCGTTTTAGTATGAACGTCGTCTTTCGCACAAGTCACTGGAGGGAAAGCCTTTAAAACATTTAAATGATCCTGGTATTGCTTTCTGATGAACGTGATAATCCGTATTTACCAAGATTAAAAACACTTCCACCAGGAACGGAAAATCTCTCCAAAAACACAAAATGTAATTCAAAAATTACAAATAAAAAGAGAAATGTAAAAACAATTGCATAAACAAACTTTGCAATGTGTATGGGTTGACATTACTGAAGCCATTACTCAAAAGAAACCTCTATAAAATCGAGAATGCACAATCAATGCAGTAAGATGTTGGAGAAAGCCAAACCGGAGGGGATGCGAAGTCCCGCATTGCAAATTTCAACACATTCATTCCTAGACCAATACATCCAAGGGCACTCACTAAGGAGAAAAAAAGTGCGTGGCTCTCTCTAGAGGACGCAAGTTTCGCCGCGCGCATCAGGAAGGGGGCAGCGCTGGCGGGAGGACCGGCCGGTGGGCGTTCCGGCAACCCACAGCTTGCAAGGACAACGGCCATCCCCCGGGCCTAGGAAGGGTGGCCCGAGGGCAGGCCCGCGTCCCCGGGTTGACCCATCCCGCCCCTCCCGCCGCCCCGGGATTACGCAACTCTCCCCCTCCCCGCCCGCTGGCCTCCCAGCTGTGCTTCAAACAAAGCGCGCGCTAAGGGGCCGGCAGCGGCCAGAAAGTGGGGACTGGAGAATGACGGCCATGTTGGCGCGGGGCGGCGGAGATGGAGTGAGGGAGGACTACCGGACGGCGAACAACGAGCGCGTGCCCGCCCCGAGGCCCAGGCCCGCCCCACCCGGGTCCCCCCCGCGGCCCGCCGGCACGGGGCGCAGTGTGGGCGCCGCTCGACGGACAATGCTGCACCGGGCCCCGCGTGGGCCACGCTCACCTGCGCCCCTGGCCCACCCGCAACCCGCACCCCCTCAGGGGCCTGCACGACCCACAGTCGCCCCGCACGAACCTTACCTACTAGCCGCTGATGCCGCCGTCCACAAGCCCGCGGTTTCCGCCGTCGCTCGTTCGCGCTCTCGCCGGCCCCAGCCGGAGCCAGAAGGCACCTCCCGGCCCCCGCTCCCTCGCCGCGTACGCCACAGGCTCCCCAGCACCCAGGGGAGCCGCCCACTGCACCAGACCAAGTGCAACAGACGCGCCGGCGCACTGCGCCAGACCAACTGCGCCAGACCAACTGCAACAGACGCCCAGGCGCCGGGCGCCGACGGCCCATTACGCAGGCGCGGTGGAGCGGGTAGGTGGGGCGGTGGAGCGGGGCGGGGCGCGGCGATGGAGGCGGTGGCTAAGACGGGGCCGGAGCTCCGGACTTCCGGGTGCGCGCCGAGAATGGGCATCGGCAGGCGTTCCGAGCCCTGCAGCCCGACGGGGCGCTACTTCTACAGGAAGGCAGGCAACCAGAGAAAGACTTCGTTTTCGCGCGGTAGTACTTACATGAAAGGACAGGGCCGGGCGCGGTGGCTCACGCCTGTAATCCCAGCACTTTGGGAGGCCGAGGCGAATGGATCAGGAGGTCAAGAGATCGAGACCATCCTGGTCAACAAGGTGAAACACCGTCTCTACTAAAAATACAAAAAATTAGCTGGGCGTGGTGGCGCATGCCTGTAATCCCAGCTACTCAGGAGGCTGAGACAGGAGAATTGCCTGAACTCAGAAGGCGGAGGGTGCGGTGAGCTGAGATAGCGCCATTGCACTCCAGCCTGGGTAACAAGAGCGAAACTCCGTTCCTCGCCCCCCAAAAGAAAGAAAGAAAGAAAGGACAAGCCCCCTTTGTCCTGGGACGTAAGCCGCAAGTCGTCCTGGGTAGTGCACCGCGAATACTGAGGAAGCTGGATGACAGGGCTGGGCTGCAAGCCTTGTGAACCCTGAACCTCGGGGAAGGCTGCAGCTCTCCTCCAACGCGCCGATTCAGGGCCGCGAGACGCGAGACCTTTAAAAGGATGAATTTGCTTCCTGTGACTCCCTGGAAGAGACGTCTTCACTACCGCACTGCGTAGAGGCCTGCGTCGTCGCCCGCTCACCCAGCTTGCTGCCTCCCAGCACAAAGCCCTGCCCAGGTAGCTCAGGTTAGCTGGAGCCCCGGAGCCTCACCTACAAACACCTGGCCTGGCCTAGGCTGTGTGGGGATGGGATGTGGCTCTGGAAGACCAGAAACCTGTTTCCAGACCCCCACCACAAATGGAACTCACCCAGCTCTACTCTCAAGGTTAAGAGCCAAAAATTCCCATGATCGCAGGCGAATCCTGTAATCCCAGCACTTTGGGAGGCCAAGGCAGGCGGATCACTTGAGATCAGGAGTTTGAGATCAGCCTGGCCAACATGGAAAACCCCTTCTCTACTAAAAATACAAAAAGCAGGGGCGTGTGGTGGCGCATGCCTGTAATTTCAGCTACCCAGAAGGCTGGGGCTCCATAATTGCTTGAACTTGGGAGATGCCCGTTGAAGTGAGCTGAGATCGCCCCACTCTACTCCAGCCTGGGCAACACAGTGAGACTGACTCAGAACAAAACAAAGCAAAGAACGAACATGGGCCTATGCCCCTGTGCCCTGGTCATGTTCTGCCCTTTGTGATCATACCACCTAGGGCACCCATCAACCCTGGAAAGTGTCCTTGTCTCTCAGGTGCACTTATACTGCTCTGATCTATGCAGAGTTCCTACGAGGATCAGAGGCATAATGAATATCATTGTGATTTACAAGGTAGTTGCAGTAATAACCACTTTAGTTTTACATTTGTTAATGTACCAATATCGCACTATAAGGCGTCTGGAATCTTCTCTGATCTGCTGTACATTTGTTCTTATTAACTTGATGGGCATTAAATTAACATGCTTTGGCATGTTCCATCTTTTTCCTGTCCTCAGGACCTGGTCACGCCCTGATCGAGCAGTGGAATCCTGTAGGCCTGGTTGGAATCATCACGGCATTCAATTTCCCTGTGGCAGTGTATGGCTGGAACAACGCCATCGCCTTGATCAGTGGAAATGTCTGCCTCTGGTAAGACCCGCTCACTTTCCTATCTAGTAGTGAGTGATAAAAATAGCCATTTCTAGCTACTACTACCTCAACCTCTTGAGTAACTGGGATTATAGGTGTGCATCACCTGCCTTCTTCGATAAAACTTAATTAAAAAAAATTTTTTTTGAGATGATGGTTCACTCTTGTCACCCATTGCACTGGAGTGTAATGGCACAGTATTAGCTCACTGCAACCTCCACCTCCCGGGTTCAAGCAATTTTCCTGCCTCAGCCTCCTGGGTAGCTGGGATTACAGGTATGCACCACCATGCTCGGCTAATTTTTTGTGTTTTTGTATTTTTAGTAGAAACAGGGTTTCACCATGTTGGCCAGGCTGGTTTCAAACTCCTGATCTCAGGTGATCACACATCTCGGCCTCCCAAAGTGTTGGGATTATAGGCCTGAGCCACTGCGCCTGGCTAATAAAACTTTGAGAGTGAACTCCCAAGTAATTCCAGGCACTTGGTCAGTGTTCCTGTTGATGTCTTAAATTTTTCAATTCTACAAAATATTTGATAGTAAAAATGTCTGTATATTATAGATGGCAAACAGTTACTTGTTTTTTGCTTTTGTGTTCTGTGGAAGAAATGAGATAAGAAAAATCAGGACAGTTGTCTTTGGCTCATTTTGCGTGCATCTGTTCCACTAATTATTAATTCATTTTAAATGTGTGGTACTCAGTTGAATGTATCCAAAAACTAACTGTATAATAGGACATATTTGAGAGGACTAATAATTTTGCACCATGTTGTGAAGGGAAACCCTGTTTTCCAGCATAATGATGTTCATTATGTCTCTGATCCTCTAATCCAAAAAGGCTCATTGCATAGTTTTCCTCAGCTCTTTGAATTTTCCAAGGTAAGTTTAGTTAATGCAGCACGTTGGTAGATTTCTGCTTTACTCAGTTCCCATAATTAGCTGAGGTTAACCTAATGATTCCTGTGATCAGTGCAGGCAGCTGATTCAGAATTGCTTCGTGCTATTTTATGTTATGAAAGGTTTGTTCTGTAGGTCTCAAAGACACCAAGGTGAAGGACAGATTTCTGTTTCAGTTACTAGACTCACTTGTCGGTTGTCTAACTGGACAGAGCTTTTTCTCACAAACACTTTTGCTTCTGTTTGATAATAAAAGATATTGGCCGTGCGCGGTGGCTCAAGCCTGTAATCCCAGCACTTTGGGAGGCCAAGGCGGGTGGATCACGAGGTCAAGAGATCGAGACCATCCTGGTCAATATGGTGAAACCCCATCTCTACTAAAAGTACCAAAAATTAGCTGGGCATGGTGGTGCATGCCAGAAATCCCAGCTACTCGGGAGGCTGAGGCAGGAGAATTGCCTGAATCCAGGAGGCGGAGGTTGTGGTGAGCCAAGATCGCGCCATTGCACTCCAGCCTGGGTAACAAGAGCGAAACTTCGTCTCAAAATAAATAAATAAAAAAATAAAAGATATTTATGGTTTCCATCAAATAAATTTTTTTTTTAACCTTTTTAAGGAACGAAACTCCAACAACTTCCCTGATTAGTGTGGCTGTCATAAAGTAAGTACGTGTGGCTTTCTTTTTCTTGAATATGAAATAATATTGAAAGGGTGATTGATAGGCCCTGACTTTTTAATCTGAGGTCAAAGAATCACATTTATTTAAGCATGGAATTTGGATAACCTCTTTTTCCTTTGCTTGTAGTATCATTTTTATATAGAGTGCTTTCAGTGCCATGTCATTTAATTTAACTCTTTGGAAACATGCCGGATATTGACGTATTTATTGAACTCTACAGACATTGTTTTGTCACTTGGAAAATAAAACCATCTTCAGTGGGAAGGAAATATTTTTGCAATTTAGAAGCCATATTTTCTCAGTATTCAACATGGTAATGGTTTTGAGAAGAGATTTTTTTTTTTTGAGATGGAGTCTTGCTCTGTCACCCAGGCTGGAGTTCAGTGGCTCAATCTTGGCTCACTGCAGCCTCTGTCTCCTGGGTTCCAGTGATTCTCCTGCCTCAGCCCCCTGGGTACCTGGGATCACAGGCGCATACCATCATGCCTGGCTAATTTGTGTACCTTTAGTAGTAATGGGGTTTCACCATGTTGGCCAGGCTGGTCTCGAACTGCTGACCTCAGGTGATCCTCCTGCCTTGGCCTTCCCGAGTGCTGGGATTACAGGCGTGAGCCACCGTGCCTGGCTAAGAATAGATTTCTATCCAGCTAATACTTTTATTGCTTTTGCTTAATAGAGTGTTAATGAAGCTGATTATTATACTTATCTCCTGATTCATCTAACACTAAAATGTTTATCTTTTGGTTAAAAAATTATCAGTGTTTTACTTACTTATATTTGAGAACCTGGTAGCTCTGATTAAGTCATCAAAGCAATGAGACTGATTTATTATTCTGGAATTTGGAGGATGTATAGAGTTAGGATGCCTCCCCATGTAGGAATAGGATGTACCTTTGATGTTGCATTGTGTGCATGGTCTGCATTTTGATTTCAGAGTTATTAGTAGAGAGATTGGGGTGGAGTTTGTGGGTAAGAGGGCTCTTCATATTAGAAGATTATTATTATTTTTTAACAGAGTTTCACTCTGTAACCAGGCTGGAGTGCAGTGGTGTGATCTTGGCTCACTACAACCTCCGACTCCCTGATTCAGGTGATACTCCTGCCTCAGTCTCCTGAGTAGCTAGGATTACAGGCGTGAGCCACCACACCCAGCAAATTTTTGTATTTGTAGTAAATATGAGGTTTCACCATGTTGGCCAGGATGGTCTTAATCTCCTGATTTCGTGATCCATCCGCCTCAGCCTCCCAAATCCTCCCTTGGATTACAGGTGTGAGCCACCCCTCCTCCCCAGCCTAGAAGATTATCTAGAATAGTGCCTTAGGAATTGGAAAATGGGCTGGAAAAGAGCAAGGGTAGTATGTATTAATTTTTAAATTTTTAATTTTGAGACACAGTCTCTGTCACCCAGGCTGGAGTGCAGTTGGGCCATCTCAGCTTACCGCAGCTTCTTACTCCTGGGTTCAAGGATTCTTGTTCCTCAGCCTACTGAGTAGCTGGGGTTCCAGGCATGTGCCACCACTCCTGGCTAATTTTTTTTTTTTTTTTTTAAGGCAGAGTCTTGCTCTGTCACCCAGGCTGGAATGCAGTGGCACAATCTCAGCTCACTCCAACCTCTGCCTCCCAGTTCAGGCGATTCTCCTGCCTCAACCTCCTGAGTAGCTGGGATTACAGGTGCATGCTACCATAGCTGGCTAACTTTTATAGACATGGGTTTTCACCATGTTGTCCATCCTGGTCTTGAACTACTGGCCTCAAGTCATCTGCCTGCCTTGGCCTTCCACAGTGCTGGAAGTGCCCGTGAGTCACTGCCCGGGCCTAAAAATAAACATTTGTTTTTTGAAAAACAGTAGAATAATTAATGTGGAAGTAGTAAAATTGACTTAACAATTGTTAGGAAGTAGCTGGCTAAAATACTGTTCATTGTGTTAGTAGTTTTGTTTGAGCCTTTTTTTTTTTTGCTTTAAATGGTTTGAAACATTCATATAGGAGTTTAATATATGCTGGTTGATAGTTTTCACAGCATTGAAAATGTTATCTGCTTTTGCAATGGAAGATAAGTAAATGATGTCAAATTTTGCTGGAATTAACCAAGGGTGATGCAGTGCCACAAGGAGGTCTTCATAAATGTAACTGAATGTTCAGATTCCTAAGATGAGCACAGCCCACATATGGTTCCTCTGTGTATTCAGAAGGATGTAGGACAGGAACATAGCTTGTGAGCGGTATGGCATCAGGTATTCCTCTTCAATCAGTGTTCTCGTCACAGTCACACAGGTACAAGGAAGTGAGAGCCACATTGGACAGGTGTAGGATTACCCTGGCTTAAAGCCTAATGCTCCGCAGAAACCAAAATCTCTTGTAACAATTGTAGCTTTCTGGGGCCACAGGGCCATGGAGTTACAAGTGTCACTGCACTCAGGAAAAGCCAAAAAGCATGGTATTCCCATTAATAGCTCACTGGTAGTTATCCCAGTTCAGATGCAAGTGACCAGGCAAGGGTCATTTTGACCATAGGCTGGTTGTCTAAGAAACATTGATGGCACGCTGACACTTATCAGGTAATTTGGATAACAGAGTTAGAGTTTAACCTAGAGTTAGATTCTCATGCCTTAGGGACAGAGGCTTGTTAACCTTTACCTATAGGCACAAAACAAAAGCCTTGCCCTTAAAGAGTGTACAGCCTACTTGTGCAGACAATATATATACCCAAAGTCTCTGGAAAGAATTGTGCAGCCTGAAACCTGGTCGTGAACATGAGAGCTGCAGTCCAGGAGGCAATCAAGGATCATTGATTGGATACTGCATTGGAGGGAAGAAAGAAAACAGCTGTAAAGGGTATTTTGGGGGAACTTACTTAGGTGTGATAATGGTATCTTTTCTATGAGAGGGAGTATGGAATTTGGGTCTTTTTGAAATTTAAACAAATTGGAAAGTAGCCAGTAAGTCGAGATGATTGCTGAAAAGAACCTTTGCTCTATTGGTCCTCTGGAAACTCAAAATGAATGGAATTCTATTTCAGAGAAACCAGAATTATTTTAGTCTTTTTTTTTTTTTTGACAACTCAAAATCAGATTTAAGTAGCATGTAACTGTATTTATTTACTTATTTATTTATTCAGACGGAATTTTGCTCTTGTTATCCATGCTGGAGTGCAATGACGCGATCTCAGCTCACCGCAACCTCCGCCTCCTGGGTTCAGACAATTCTCCTGCCTTAGCCTCCTGAGTAGCTGGGATTACAGGCACGCCCACCATGCCCAGCTAATTTTTTATATTTTTAGTAGAGACGGGGTTTTACTACGTTGACCAGGATGGTCTCGATCTCTTGACCGCGTGATCCACCCGCCTCGGCCTCCCAAAGTGCTGGGATTACAGGCTTGAGCCACCGCGCCCAGCCTGTATTTCTTATTTTAACAGGGGAACAAACTCTGCTTGTCCACAATTCTTTAGCCTGTAAGGTACTGATATTTTCTGACTGATGTGGTTTGGTGGGAACTAGCCCCAAGCTTCTTCAAGGTTCTACGTGGTGGCCGCAGCTCCCTCTTTTGTGTCTGTGGATTTATTTAGGTTTTGAGGATCCTTTCCCCTTTCCCAGTTTGTAGTTTACAACTTCTCTAACTCTGCTTTGCAGAGATGTGTTTAAATATATTTGCTGGTGGGGACTACCTCTAATTTCCTTTATCATTTTCATTTCCTTTCTTTTTTTGTTCTCTTTTTTTTTGCAATTTTTTTCATTTCCTTTCTATTTTCCTTTTTAATCATTGTTTTAATAGATTTGTGAAAGACAAAAAAAAAAGGCCCAGTGATGATGAATCTGCTGTCTTGAACCAGATGTATTCTCATAGTTTGGCAGAAAATACTTGAAAACAATGATAAGTTGAGCTACATGAAAAATGCTTTATGTCTTCTATTTATGTTTTATGTTTTTTTCTTCTTCTCAAGATTTTTTTTTTTTTTTTTTTTTTTTTTTTTGAGATGGAATCTGGCTCTTTCTCCCAGACCAGAGTGCAGTGGCATGATCTTGCTTCACTGCAACCTCCAACTCCCTGCCACCTTCCCCTCCTGGGTTTAAGCAATTCTCCTATCTCAGCCTCCTGAGTAGGTGAAATTACAGGCTCCCAGCATCATGCCCAGCTAATTTTTATATTTTTAATAGAGATGGGGTTTCACCATGTTGGCCAGGCTGGTCTCGAACTCTGGAGCTCAACTAATCCACTTGCCTCGGCCTCCCAAAGGACTAGGATTACCAGGTATGAGCCACCAAACCTGGCCTCAAGATTCTTTTAGGACAAAATAATAATAATAATTCTAATAGTTTTTTAAAAGCATCATTTTCAATATGTGAGGAGAAATCCACCTCTGAATGTTTGAGGGCAGAGTCTGGTATAAGAGGATTCTTAATGTTAGAAGGCCATTTAGGAACAGTGACTTAGCAATTGAAAAGGGGGCTGAAAAAGCAAGAGAGTAGTATGTTTGAGGGATGTGAGAGAACGTTGAAAAAAGGAGAGTCAAGTGGTTGGAATTTATTCTTGTTTTTTAAAAAATGACTTAAATCAAATGATTGCTTCAATAATTGTTTTTTTCCTTTCTAGGATAATAGCCAAGGTTTTGGAGGACAACAGGCTGCCTGGGGCAATTTGTTCCTTGACTTGTGGTGGAGCAGATATTGGGTAGGTTACTAGGCTGAGAGCATCCTTCTGTTGAAGGACCTCAGGTTGACCAACTAGAATCATCTTTACTAGAATAAGAAACTCACTTTAACCAAGGATATGAGAATGGTTTTCTGAAGTCATCATTATTAAAACTTTGTTGGGTTCTTATTTTCTTAATATCTAAGCTCTATTGGAGGATGAATATGAATTGTCTTTCTAATTGCCTAGACGTACTATCTATAAGGTGTTTATATCCTGAAATAACAAACTGCTATAATGGTGGGCAGCCTGTGACTTCCTGACACTTGGTTTATCAAGGTGTTTACTTACAGAGAAAGCTATGGAATTGTACTCTGGGGTCTCACTGCCCGCCAAGAACCTAGCCTACTGTCTGAGTTTCTCAGCTGACAGAAAAAGGGAACCCTAGGAACACAGCTTCTTTTTAATAAAATTGTGTTTTTCCTTTTTAGTTGCCATATAATTCACAATGCACATACCATAACATTTCTTTTTTCAAGTGTACAATGTAGTGGTTTTTAGAATATTCAGAGTATTGCGCTGCTGTCACCATTATCTTATTCCAGAACATTTTGATCAGCCTAGAAAGAAATCCGATATCCATTGGCCATCTCTTCCCATTCCCCCTCCCCTCATGCCCTGACAGCTACTAAAGACTTTTCTGTCTGTACGGATTTGCCTATTTGAGACACTTTGTATAAATGTAGTCATACAATATGCGGCCTTTTATGTCTTGCTGCTTTTACATGGCATGATATTAAGATGACATGGACTATAACTGCGCTGAACAGGGATGAAAGCTGAGGTTGTTCTTACCAGCTTAGACTTTCGTTAGGTGAGTTTTCTAGGAGTCAAGTCTTACAACCCACACTGGTGTGGCTAAAGTGTTAGTCTCTTCTTCCAACACTTTTAACGTACTATTGTACTTCCTGGCAATCTCAAAAAGGAGCAATACATTACTCTATTTTTCATATTGATGAGAACATTTTAGAAAATACAACTCTTACGTGTGCAATGCAGAGTGAAATATTATCTAAGTGTCATGTAAAACATGAGTCTTTTGGCCTTTGACTGTATTTTTGCATTCTGGGTGTCTAGTCCTTCATGTTGACCTTGCAATTGCTCAGATAATTATGGTAGTATGTACAGGAGCATGTTAAGTAGCAGCCACTTTGAGTATTAGTGCTCATGCTTGCTGGGTTGAACCTGGGAAGACTGACCTAGGTAATTGAGCCAAGCTGTTCAGCCCTACATTGGACTGATACTGTGGCTGCCCTACTTGGCTCACATTGGACCCTTTGAAGCACTGAACTTGGAACAAAGAAGATCAAATCAATAGCGTCTGATCTGCATTCCTTAGAAGCAACTGGACATCCTAGTATAGCCTTTATAAGTCAGCTTCCATGAGGAATACTTTAAGATAGAAGTCCCCAACCTTTTTGGCACCAGGTACTGGGACTGGTTTTGTGGAAGACAATTTTTCCATGGCCCACGGCAAGGGGATGGTTTTAGGATGAAATCATCCCACCTTAGATCATCAGGCATTAGATTCTCGTCAGGAGCCCGCAATCCAGATCCCTTGCATGCGCAGTTGACAATAGGGTTCAGCCTCCTATGAAAATGTAATGCTGCTGCTGATCTGACAGGAGGTGGAGCTCAGGCAGTAATGTCTACTGGCCCACCGACTTGCTCACCTTCTGCTGTGCAACCTGGTTCCTAATAGGCCACAGACTAGTACTGGTGGGTGTCCTGGGGCTTGGGGATCCCCTGCTTTAGGATATTTCCCTACAGGCTTTTAAGTCTTAATTTTAAATTTAATTTTAGTATCTTTTTTTTTGAGACATAGTTTCACTCTTGTTGTCCAGGCTGGATTGGAATGGCACAATCTTGGGTTGCTGTGACCTCTGCCTCCCGGGTTCAAGCGATTCTCCTGCTTCAGCCTCCCAAGTAGCTGGGACTACAGGCACCTATATCCATACCTGGCTAATTTTTTATATTTAGTAGAGATGGGCTTTCACCATTTTGGTGAGTCTGGTCTCAAACTCCTGACCTCCGTTGATCCACCTGCCTTGGCCTCCCCAAGTGCTGGGATTACAGGTATGAGCCACTGCACCTGGCCAAGTTTTAATTTTTAATTATTTAATTATTTTATTTTTTTGAGACAAGGTCTCTTGTCACCTAGGCTGGGGTACAGTGGCACGATCTAGGCTCACTGAAATCTCTGCCTCCCAGGTTCAAGTGATCCTCCCATCTCAGCCTCCAAGCAGCCTCCCAAGTAGCTGGGACTACAGGCGCATGCCTCCATACCTGGCTAATTTTAGTATTTTTTAGTAGAGACGAGGTTTCACCATGTTGCCCAGGCTTGTCCTGCCCAAGTTTTAGTTCTTAAAAGGATTATACAGCAGTTAAAAGTCTGTAAAACTGGAATGCTCAGCAAGGAAATGCTAAGATCATAGCAGGAAAGACTTTCTCCTCTAATAGCTTCCTCTAGGTGATTTCTATTCAAACGCTCACAGCAGGTTAGCCTGTTCTGCCTTATTTATGAAAAACTTTTTGTCCCTTTTGTTTTATCTTTCATTTTTGAGCTGGAGTTTCACTCTTGTTTTCTAGGCTGGAGTGCAATGGTGTGATCTCGGCTCACCAGAATCTCCGCCTCTTGGGTTCAAGCAATTCTCCTGCCTCAACCTCCCGAGTAGCTGGGACTACAGGCTGCGCCACCATGCCCCGCTAATTTTTGTATTTTTTAAGTAGAGATGGGGTTTCACCATGTTGACCAGGATGGTCTCGATCTCTTGACCTTGTGAGCCACCAGCCACGGCCTCCCAAAATGCTGGGATTATATGCATGAGCCACCGCACCCAGCTGTCCCTTTTCATTGAAGACCTTCCATTGCTCCCCTGGGACAGACTTTCCTTTAGCTTTGAGGGACTGCTTTTCCAAGGGAACTTCAGTGCTGGGTACCATTTGTTGCCATTCCTGGGTTCTCTGCTTGGGTGACTGACCATGTCTGTTCCCCTGCAGCACAGCAATGGCCAAAGATGAACGAGTGAACCTGCTGTCCTTCACTGGGAGCACTCCGGTGGGAAAACAGGTGGCCCTGATGGTGCAGGAGAGGTTTGGTAAGTGTTGGTTTTCTGATGAGGATTTTAATTCTCTCAAATATGGAGGCGAAATCTAAAAGTTGAGTTTTTGTTTTCCCCTCAACCTTGTCCATGGAGACAGTGGTCATGTTTATTTAAATGTCTAAGTAAAAGAAAAGGGTACAGTTATTAGCATTTGAATGTTAGGGAGGTCCTAAATTTACATATTAAAATTTATTAAAGGAAATCATTTTCTCTGTAAATGGGTATAGTAAAATATTTATCAAATTCTACTGGTCCTGTTTGGCAAATTAAAGAAGAAAAATGTCATCATTTAAACAGGAGCACTGAATATAGAACTTACAGTGAGTATGGAATAAAAGGCTTAAATCCGCTCTTCTCTCATGCATATTTCATGGATACATGGTTGAAAAAGGCTGTATAGACATAGCTTCGTATACTGTACTGTGCTTTATGGATGACTTCCAAGGTTTTCAAGGATAATATTGGTTATAAATTTTTGGCTGTTGGCTGAATTTTAGACTTTAACCCCAGCATAAGATGAGACTTCAACCATTTAACTATGTAGGCATTGGCAACATAGATTTTTGTACATCAATCTTGTGCTCTACAACCTTGCTGACCTAATAAAACAGGTCAGCAAGGTTGTAGAGCACAAGATTGATGTAGAAAAATCAATTGTTTTTCTATGCTTTAGCAATGACCAATCCAAAAATGAAATTCTGAAAGCAATTCAATTTATAGTAACATCAAAAGGAATAAACACTTGGGGATACATTGAACAAAGGAAGTGTAAGTCTGTCGCACAGAGCACTGCAAATCATCATCAAAATAAATTAAAGCTGACCTAAATAAATGAATAGATATTCCCTTTTCGTTTTTTAGAAGATTGAATATTGTTAAGATAACCAGTGTAGCCCATGTGATCTACAGATTCAATGCAGGTCCTGTAAAAATTCCAGGTTTTTGTTTTGTAACAATTGACAAGTTAATCCTAAAATTCATATGATAATGCGAAGGACCCTAAAAAGCCAAAACAATCTTGAAAAAGAAAAAAATGGAAGGACTCTCACTTCTCAGTAAAAAGTTTTTGTGTTTACTGCAAAACTGTGGTAATCAAGCCTGTGTGGCACCAGCATAAGGATAGACATAAAGATCAATGGAGTAGAATTGAAGGTCCAGAAATAAATCCTTGCATTTATGGTCAGTTGTGTCAAGGGTGACAAGATATTTCAATGGGGAAAGAGTAGACTTTTCAAAATGAAATATCATGCAGCCTTTTAAAATCTTTATTTTATTAATGTTTATTTATTTATTTTTCTGAGACATGGTCTGACTCTGCTGTCCAGCTGGGGTGTAGTGGGCATGATTATGGCTCACTACAACCTCAACCTCCTGGGCTCAAGCAGTTCCCACACCTCAGTCTTCCATTTAGATGGTCCATCATGCCCAGCTCATTTTTGTACTTTTTTTGTTAGAGACAGGGTCTTGCCATGTTGCCCATGCTGGGCTCAATCTCCTGGGCTCAGATCTTCCCGCCTTGGCCTCCCAAAGTGCTAGGATTTCAGGCATGAGCCACCAAGCCCGGCTTATTATGCAGCCTTAAAAAAAAATTCTATTACATGCTACAAGATGGTTGTACTTTGTACACATTATGGTAGGTGAAATAAGGTAGTCCCTAAAGGGTGAGTACTTATGACTCCACTCATATGAAACTTGTCAAAATCAATGAAATAGAGAGCAGGGTGGCAACCAAGGGCTGGGTGTAGGGGAAGGAGGGATTAGTGTTTATAGAGTATGGAGTTTCAGTTTTGCAAGATGCAAAAGTTCTAAAGATAGGCTGTACAATAATGTGAATGTACTTGACACTGAACTGTGTACCATCTTAACTATTTTTTTTTTTGAGACGGAGTTTCGCTCTTGTTACCCAGGCTGGAGTGCAATGGCGGGATCTCGGCTCACCACAACATCCACCTCCTGGGTTCAGGCAATTTTCCTGCCTCAGCCTCCTGAGTAGCTGGGATTACAGGCACACACCACCATGCCCAGCTAATTTTTTGTATTTTTTTTAGTAGAGACGTGGTTTCACTATGTTGACCAGGATCGTTTCAATCTCTTGACCTCATGATCAACCTGCTTCAGCCTCCCCAAGTGCCAGGATTATAGGCATGAGCCACTGTGCCTGGCCCCCATCTTAACTATTTTTAAGTAAATTTTATGTTGTGTGGATTTCCCGCCACAATTAAAAAGAGAGAAAGAAAGAAACCTATGGCCCATAAGGCCACCACAAAAATCCCTCCTTACAATTTGATAATGTCTTCTATCAAATTTGTAGTCTTTTCTCTGGGCATTTATATTTAGTTGAGATTATATTATTTCCATTTTATTTTATTTTCTGGTGTCTTAATACCTTTCCCCTAAGTTATTAAGAGTCATGAAAAGAAAAATTACTCTGTAGTATTCCATCATGATGATCAAATTTTATTTAGCTGTTTCTTCAGTGTTGAATATATTTGTTGATTATCTACTTAGGTCAGGACTCTTGATAGACATTACCAACTTATATTCTAGAAAAGTTATATAGCAGGCCATGAATACCATTCTTTTTTTTTTTTTTTTTGAGACAGTCTTGCTCTGTCACGCAGGCTGGAGTTGAGTGGCGCAATCTCTGCTCACTGCAACCTCTGCCTCCTGGGTTCAAGTGATTCTCCTGCCTCAACTTCCCAAGTAGCTGGGACTACAGGTGTGCACCACCACACCCAACTCATTTTTGTGTTTTTAGTAGAGATGAGGTCTCACCACATTGGCCCGGCTTGTCTCGAACTTCTTACCTCTGCTGATTTGCCCGCCTCAGCCTCCCAAAGTGCTGGGATTACAGGCATGAGCTACTGTGCCTGGCCTTAGACATATGTTTATTACTGATCTTTTGATTATACATTTCCTTAAGTGTACTTTAAAATCAGCTTCCATGTGAATAACTTTTATTCATTTGTGATATCAGGAGCATATGTGACAACAGGAGAGTATGTTCTCATTGCTCGGAAACAGGTAAGTATCAAGTGAATATATGTGTATATGTATGCATGTGTGTGTGTGTATATATATATATTTTTTTATTTTTTTGAGACTGAGTCTTGCTCTGTTGCTCAGGCTGGAGGGCACTGGCACAATCTTGGTTCACTGCAACCTCTGACTCCTGGGTTCAAGCGATTCTTCTGCTTCAGCCTCCTGAGTAGCTGGGACGACAGGTGTGTACCACCACACCTGGGTAATTTTTGTATTTTTAGTAGAGAAGGGGTTACACCTTTTTGGCCAGGCTGGTCTCAAACTCCTGACCTTGTGATCCACCCACCTCGGCCTCCCAAAGTGCTAGTATTACAGGCATGAACCACTGTGCCTGGCCTCAAGTGAATATTCATTATGAAGACATGTGGCTGTTATTACCAAAACCCAGCAAATGCTACACCAACTCTAGTCTCTGCTGCAATCATTGAATTAACGACATCTTGCTGGCTACAGCATAGCACTATGCTAGGTGTAAAGAAGAAAAGGAAGGAAACAGAAGCTTTTATGCCTGATGTCCGCTTCTCCTGCCTGGCTGCAAGTGATGTTTGGCAGAAGAGGAGAGATCTATACTTTCTACATCTCTCCATCAGGTGCTCTCTAACTGCACTCCTAACCACCAACTCTCCCAAGAAAAGCAGCTATAAGTTAAGACTGGCAGATATATTTTAAAAATTATAATTCTACTGCTACTATTTAGCTAAGAACTAACTACTGCCTTGAGGAAGGAAAAAGGGAGAAAGCAGAGAAGACGAAATCTGCTAGGGACTAATGATATTGAGAATCTCTTCATTTCTAATTGGCCATTTAAGATATCTATTCAAATCCAGAGCCCGTTTTTAATTGGGTTGTCTTTTATATTCTTAAATTTTAAGAGTTCTTTGCGTATTCCATATACAAGTTCCTTATCCAATGACTTCCAAACATTTTCTGCCATTCTGTAGGTTGTTTTCACTTTTTCCTGATGTCCTTTGAAGCACAAAAGGCTCTAATTTTGATAAAATCTAATTTGCCTTTTAATTGTTGTTGCTTGTGCTTTAGTTGTTGTTTCTAAGAAACCATCGCCTAACCTAAGGTCATGAAAGCTTATTCCTATGTTTTCTTCTAAGGGTTTTATAGTTTTCGCTCTTACATTTAGGTCTTTGATACATTTTGCAAGTCTTTGCATAGCAGATGTAGTAGTGGGGTCTGACTTCAGACGTGTGTGTCCCTCAAGAGTCCTGACCTAACTAGATAATCAACAAATACATTCAACACTGGAGAAATAGCTAAATAAAATTTGGTATATCATTATGATGGAATACTATGGAGTGATTTTTCTTTTCAGAACTTAGGAGAAAGGTGTAAGACATCAGAAAATAAAGGCAAATGAAATAACATAATCTCAACTAAATATAAATGCACAGAGAAAAGATTAGAAGACACTATCAAATTTAAAGAGGGAGTTTTGTCGTGGCCTTATGGGCCATAGGTTGCCTGTCTGCTCCCTCCCTTCCTTCCTTCCTTCCTCCCTCCCTCTCTCACTTCCTCCTTTTTTCCTCCTCTTCCTCCTCCTTTTTCTTCTTCCTCCCTCTCTCTTTCCCTCCTTCCTTCTGTCCACCCTTCCTTCCTTCTTTTCTTCTTTCTTTTCTTCCTTCCCTTCCTTCCTTCATCCCTCCCTCTCTCCCTTCTTTCTTTCTTTCATATTTTCTTCCTTTTTTCCTCTTTTTCTTATTGTGAGAAATCCACACAACATAAAATTTACTTAAAAATAGTTAAGATGGTACATAGTTCAGTAGTGTCAAGTACATTCACATTATTGTAGAGCCTATCTTTAGAACTTTTTCATCTTGCAAAACTGAAACTCTGTACCCTATAAACACTAATCCCTTCTTCTCCTATAGCCAGCACTTGGTAGCTACCCTTCTCTCCGTTTCATTGATTTTGACATCTTCCATGTGAGTGGAATCATAAGTATTCATCCTTTAGGAACTACCTTATTTCACTTACCATAATGTGAACAAAGTACAACCATCTTGTAGCATGTAATAGGATTTCATTTTTAAGGCTACATAATAAGCTGGGCATGGTGGCTCATGCCTGTAATCCTAGCACTTTGGGAGGCCAGGGCAGGAGGGATCTGAGCCCAGGAGTGTGAGCCCAGCAGTTTGAGCCCAGCATGGGCAACATGGCAAGACCCTGTCTCTGCCAAAAAAAGTACAAGAATGAGTTGGGCATGGTGGTCCAGCTACTTGGGAGGCTGAGGTGGGGGAACTGCTTGAGCCTAGGAGGTTGAGGTTGCAGTAAGCCATGATCATGCCACCAAACCGCAGCCTGGGCAGCAGAGTCAGACCCTGTCTCAGAAAAAAAATAAAAAATTAATAAAATGAAATAAGGCTGCATGATATTTTCTCTATTATATTTATATACCACATTTACTTGACTAATTCATCAGCTGATGCACACTTGGGTTGCTGTCACCTTACAGCTATTGTGAATAATGCTACTATGAATATTGGTGTACAAATAAATATGGAGTCCCTGCTTATATGCAGAAATGAAATTGCTTGATCATGTAGTAATTAATTCACTCGTTTATTTGAGACAGTCTCGTTCTGTTGGCCCAGGCTGGAGTGCAGTGGTACGATCACGGCTCACTGTTGTCTCAAATTCCTGGGCTTCAGCCTCCCGAGTAGCTGGGACTACAGGCAGGCACTACCATGCCCAGCTAATTTGTTTTAATTTTTGTAGAGACAGGGTCTTACCATGTTTGCTAGGTTCTGTTTAATTTTGGGGGGATCATTGCCATGCCGTTTTCTATAGTGACTGCCCCATTTTACTTTTTTTTCTTGAATAGTTTCAGACAAGATTGGATGCATTCAGGGTGGTTTGGTTTGCCTGTAGACTTTCTTGTACAGTTTCAAACCTAAAATTATAAGACCAACCTAAGGAATTCCCGTGTACCCTAATTGCGTACATTTTGTTCCATTTGACTGATCATTTTCTCTCTCTCCAGCAACATCTATGCATACACTTCAGCAATATCTATTCACACACACACACACACACACACACAGACACACACACACATTCTGTGAGTGCATATTATTGTTGAACTGTTTAGAGTAAGTTGAAGATGTTGCTTCCCTTTATTACTAAATATTTTGGTGTATTTCCTAAGATTGTGCACTTTCTCTTGCATAACCACAGTAGTTACCAAAATCAGGACATTTGATATTGATACAATAGAAATGCTACTTTAAAGTGAGAAAATAAGTTGAAAAATAATTGGGATAGGGTGTAATTGAGATAGCTTTATGATTGGGATAGGCTCTATAAAATATTAATTGGACAGGCTGTATAATTTAACAGTTGGGATTAGGCTATACAGCAGTGTGTAGTAAATACAGAACGAGCCATTCATTTGTATGTGTAATTTTTTTAAAGGGAGAAGTTTGTTGGAAGTTGGAGGAAATAATGCTATTATTGGTAAGGCTGCCCTTTCGTTTTTGTTTGTTTTCTGTTCATAGTTTCTACAATCGCCATCCTGAATATGTGGAACTTGTCTCATTTAGGATCTCATTTCTTCCATGTTGTTTATGCCTGAGACCTAGGTCCTGTGTTTAGGAATTTTACTGGGGAGATAGGATACAAGCTTTGTTTGAAGGCAGAGGTAACTAGGAAGGAAAGGTATTATGTTTAGAACATGTTACCTGGGATCTAGAACCTGTGAATAAGGCTTCCATTGCCATTGGAGTGTGGCATTATTTCTTGTTTTTTCTTCTATTGGCTGAAAACTGGCTATATTTCTGTAGAATAACTTAAGTAATTCTTTTTTTTAAATTGCATTTTAGGTTTTGGGGTACATGTGAAGAACATGCAAGATAGTTGCATAGGTACACATGTGGCAGTGTGATTTGCTGCCTTCCTCCCCATCACCTATATGTGACTTGATCATTTCTTTAGATTTCCAAACATTATTTTGTCCTTAGTGTAATACTGAGTGCTTTTATATTGGGAAGAAACATGTCCTTAAGGCATTTTTTAAAAATCACCTATAGGCTTAGAGATTACTTAATGCTCTTTTTCAGCTGTCTGAATTTGTCACGAAAATGCTTAGATATTTGTAGATGACACACATAAGAAGTATTTGTAAGATATAAGAAGTAGATGGTGGGCTGGGCGCAGTGGCTCACGCCTGTAATCCCAGCACTTTGGGAGGCCAAGATGGGTGGATCACGAGGTCAAGAGATTGAGACCATCCTGGCCAACATAGTGAAACCCCATCTTTACTAAAAATACAAAAAAATTAGCTGGGCGTGGTGGTGCATGCCTGTAGTCCCAGCTGCTCGGGAGGCTGAGGCAGGTGAATTGCTTGAACGCGGGAGGCAGAGGTTGCAGTGAGCCGAGACTGCACCACTGCACTCCAGCCTGGTGCCTGTTGACAGAGCAAGACTCTGCCTCAAAAAAAAAAAAAAAGAAATAGATGGTGAAGGGTTTGTTCTGAATAAACTTTTTTTTTTTTGAGTTGGAGTCTGACTCTATCACCCAGGCTGAAGTGCAATGGCATGATCTCGGCTCACTGCAACCTCTACCTCCCAGGTTCAAGTTATTCTCCTGCCTCAGCCTCCCAAGTAGCTTGGATTACAGGCACACGCCACCATACCTGGGTAATTTTTGTATTTTTAGTAGAGATGGTGTTTCACCAAGCTGACCAGGCTGGTCTCGAACTCCTGACCTTAGGTGATCCACCTGCCTTGGCCTCCCAAAGTGCTTGGATTACAGGTGTGAGCCACTGTGCCCAGCCTCTGGATGAACTTTTAAAGAGAGACTTCAGTAAAAAACAAAGTTTGCATTTAGTGAGCACTAGTGTCTGCCAGGTACTGTGTTCAGCTGTTTTATATGCATTATTTTATTTAATCCCTACAACAATCCTATGAAGTAAATACTGCTGTTAATCTAATTTGAAGGTTGTATTCTGAGACTTAAAATGATTACATACCTGAAGTAACAGGATAGCAAATGACAAATGCTACTACTTGTATCTCGGCAGCCAGACCTCAGAGCACAGCTCTTCCTTAACTGCCTACTACCATCCATTATGACCCTAGGCATTATTGCCCATTTTTTAGATGAGGAAACCGAGACTTCAAAAGTTAAAATAGGCTGGGTGTGGTGGCTCACACCTGTAATCCCAGCACTTTGGAAGGCCAAGGAGAATGAATTTGAGACCAGCCTGGACAACATGGTGAAACCCAATCCCTAGAAAAAATACAAAAATTACCTGGGTGTGGTGGTGCGCACCTATAGTCCTAGCCACTGGGAGGCTGACGTGGGAAGATTGACTGAGCCCACAAGGTCAAGGCTGCAGTGCCACTCTCTCCAGCCTGGGCGACAGAGTGAGACCCCATCTGCCTGGGTGACAGAATGAGACCCCATCTCAAAAAAAAAAAAGAAAAAAAGAATAGACATAAACCCCCCTGAGAAATAAAAGATGAAGAGGCCAAAGGAGTGGGAACCTCAATTTACCCCTCTATAGCTGGGTAAAGATTACAGAGCTCATAGTCTTCCTTGGAAAAAGAGTGTGCCTTTCCCCCTGATGTGTGTATATGTCTCTGTGACATTAATATGCTTACTGTACAACCATAGTTTTGACGTTCTCTTACTGCACTTTATAGAAACATTGTTGGCTGGGCGTTGTGGCTCATGCCTGTAATCCCAGCACGTTGGGAGGCCAACGTGGGTAGATCGCTTGGGGTCAGGAGTTTGAGACTGACCTGACCAACATGGTGAAACCCCATTTCTACTAAAATTACAAAAATTAGCTGAGCATAGTGGCACATGCCTGTATTCTTAGCCACTCAGGAGGCTGAAGCAGGAGAATTGCTTGCATCTGGGAGTGGGAGGTTGTGGTGAGCTAAGATCACACCATTGCACTCCAGCCTGGGTGACAAGAGTGAAACTCGATCTTAAAAAAAAAAGAAAGCAAACCCACATTGTTTTATACCAGCTAACAAATACCTGTCTACCTGTTTTACTTCACTGATGGATGTGTTTGTGCTTTTCTAAGCCTTCGAAGATGCAGACCTCAACTTAGTTGTTCCATCAGCTCTCTTCGCTGCTGTGGGAACAGCTGGCCAGAGGTGTACCACTGCGAGGCGACTGGTGAGTATGTCTGCATAGGCCCGTGAGCTTGTCTTGCTCTTAAACACTGCTTGTTAATGAGGTCTGCTGTTAGGGAGGTGTCAGCAATACTGCTATAACAACGTGCTCTCTAGATGCGGCTGACAAATATGTGGCCCAGTTGGCAGATGTTGTTAGTCAATCAGGGACTTTGGCTTTTTTCTACCCCAAGCTAATAGGGGTTCCACCACCAGTTGATTGGAGTTGGACTAGGAGATGAGAACCATTTTCAGTCCTATTCCTAGAACAATGTGGAAAATTCCAATGTAACTTAGAGAATAAAACAAGGTAAAAATGTTAAAAATTATTAAAGTATTAGCTAAAAATAGAGTCTTGCTCTTTTATAAAAACATTTTAAGTAGTAAAGCATTTTAGATTGGGCACGGTGGCTCAAACACATAATTCCAACATTTTGGGAGACCAAGGCAGGATGATTGCTTAAGCCCAGTAGTTCAAGACCAGCTTGGGCAACATGGCAATACCCTGTCTCTACAAAAAGTTAAAAAACATTAGCCAGGCATGATGGCTTATGCTTGTAGTCCCAGCCACATACTTGGGAGGCTGAGGCAGGGGAGCTGATAGACCCCGGACAAGGAGGCTGCAATGAGCCGTGACTGCACCACTGTTCTTCGGCCCTGGGGACAGGGCAACATCCTGTCTCAACCAATCAATCAATAAACATTTTAATTTTTAGCCTGAAGTCTAGTCTTAGCTTTGACTTGAAATGACATGATTCATTGAAAAGCAAATGATTCTGTATACCCGAGACTTCTCTATATACATATGTGGTCTGCATACATATATATAGAGACGACAGATTAACATTAAGTGTATAGAAGGGGAGATATGGTTTAGCTTCAGTGTGGGATTTGGGAAGTTTAATCTCTATACTTAAGATTGAGCTGGATTTCAGTTTAGTATGTGTTACAACTTTGATTTTCATGACTTTATGGTACGAAAAGACTATACAATAACTCAGCAAGTTTTTTTTTGTTTTTTGAGACAGAGTTTTTCTCTATCACCAGGCTGGAGTGTAGTGGTGCGATATTGCTCACTGTAACCTCCACCTCCTGGGTTCAAGTAATTCTCCTGCCTCAGCCTCCTGAGTAGCTGGGATAATAGGTGTGTACCACCATGCCTGGCTAATTTTTGTATTTTTAGCAGAGATGAGGTTTCACCATGTTGGCCAGGCTGGTCTTGAACTCCTAACCTTAGGAGTTCAAGGTGGGTGATCAACCCACCTTGGCCTCCCAGAGTGCTGGGATTATAGGCAGGAGCTGCCATATCCCGTTCTGAGCAAGTTTTAGTTAGGTACGAAATTTGGCTGCATTTACCATTTAAAAAAAATTACTTTTAGCTCTTTTGAACTTGAGCCATTTTTTATTGTTGAGTTTTCCTTTTGTAATAAAAAAGGCCTTCAGTTGAATTATTAAGAAATTGGCTTTGGGCTTTTGCTCTGATTCACAATGAGTGTGAACAAATTCTTTATAAGACTGACATCTAAATTAATTAGAATAAGCTAAAAGATATATGAAATTTAAGATTACCTTTCTCACACTTTTCTCTTTTCTTTTTTCACCAGATGGAATCTTGCTCTGTTGGCAAGGGTACAGTGCAATGGCATGATCTCAGCTCACCAAAACCTCCACCTCCCAAGTTCAAGCGATTCTCCTGCCTCAGCCTCCCACGTAGCTGGGACTCCAGGTGCCCACCACCATGCCTAGCTAATTTGTGTATTTTTAGAAGAGACAGGGTTTTGCCATGTTTACCAGGCTGGTCTCAAACTCCTGACCCCAGGTAATCTGCCTGCCTTGGCCTCCCAAAGTGCTGGGATTATAGGTGTCAGCCACCGTGCCCAGCCTCTCACAGTTTTTATACTTTTTTCAGGTGTTTTGCACAAATGAAAATAAATCTTTATTTTTATGTAGCTGACATTCTCAAAAAATCTGATACTATATTTGTAACATTACAGTTTATTAAATTTGTTCATCATACACATTAAATTGCCATTAAAGATTACATTAAAGCTAAGAGAAAACGATGTACTCCAGATGGTTATACCCTTCATTACATGGTAAAATATGAAAGGACATGAAAGCCAAATATTTCACTTTTCAGCCAATTTTTATTATTTTTGTGTGTTTTGGAGCAAATATTCATAGATATCCTTTATATTAGTGTTAAATATTAATAGATAATACTAGCCATTGTTCAAATAGATTTCCTTAGAGTTAGCAGCGTGTGTGTGTGTGTGTGTGTGTGTGTGTGTGTGTATACATATATATAAAAATTCCAATACATCGGCTGCTTCATGACTAGTTCTCGAAATGTCAATTCATTCATCACATGGAGACTATCTCAGAGAATAGATGGTTTGGCAAGTTCAGCTCTGCCACTAGGAGCATAGCATGGACCTCACAACTACCCAGAGGGTGCAAGGGTTATCCTCACCTAATTAAGGCCTCTTCTAGAGACCTTTGTGGCCTGGAGCTAAGTGTTTATAGTTGCCAAGCACAGTTAGTTACCACTGTGCTCTGCATTCACTGAGACTTAGAGTTACAGTATGGGACAGATGTACTTGAGGCCTTCTTTAATGTATTTGCGAAGTTTAGCCAAATACATCCTTGGAAACTTGATAAAGACATGGCTTGTGGACAGGGTGCAGTGGCTTATGCCTATAATCCCAGCACTTTGGGAGGCCGAGGTGGGTGGATCACTGAGGTCAGGAGTTCCAGACCAACCTGGCCGACATGGCGAAAGCCCATCTCTACTAAAAATACAAAAAATTAGCCAGGCATGGTAGTGGGTGCCTGTAATCCCAGCCACTTGGGGCTGAGGTATGAGAATCACTTGAACCTGGGAGGTGGAGGTTGCAATGAGGTGAGATTGCACCGCTGCACTTCTTTAGCTTGGGTGACAGAGTGAGACTCTGTCTCAAAAAAAATACACAAAAACAAAACATGGCTTATGATTTTATTCTAACATCTACCTAAAAGGAAATTTTAAACTTCATATAGTTAATATTAAAATGAGAAATAATACAATTATAAATAAAATGTGCTTTGATTTGCTTATGTTTTTAGAGATTACCATATTTCAATAACTTTCAATAATATTATTCATTGTTTAAAATTGTGTACATTCATCGTACTATGCCCTCAAATACCTCTTTTTTTGCTTAGTTTGTGCATGAAAGCATCCATGATGAGGTCGAAACAGACTTAAAAAGGCCTGTACACAGATCCGAGTTGGGAACCCGTGGGACTATGAGTATCTCCTTCTGTTTTCCAAGGATCCGTTTTTGATAGCTGTTGTTTACAAATGTTTCTGATCTGAGTTTTGGAGTTTCTTTCCCTTCCCTGAGAGGCCTGAAGGCACATGGAGCAGATTATTAGGCTTTGGGGTATCGTGTCTGCTCCTAGGTATTGACCCTGGGTGCTTGATGTGGGCTGGTGGGTGAGACTAGGAGAGGTTATTTAGATGGGATGAAATTTAGTGAGCTTCTCTCTCATTACTATTACCCTTGTCCAAGCCAACACTATCCCTTTTGTGGATGGCTTTAAGAGTCCCCTAACTGACCCTTCTGCATGTATTCCTACAGAGTGATTTTTAGATAATTCACTCTCCTGCATAAAATACTTCTCATTGCTTTTAGTTTTCTTTTCTTTTCTTTTCTTTTTTTTGAGACATGGTTTTACTCTGTTGCTCAAGCTGGAATGCAGTGGTGTGATCTCGGCTCACTGCAACCTCTGTCTCCTGGGTTCAAGCAATTCTCTTGCCTCAGCCTCCTGAGTAGCTGTGATCACAGGTGTGTGTCACCATGCCCGACTGACTTTTGTATTTTTAGTAGAGACAGCATTTCACTTTGTTGATCAGGCTGGTCTCAGACTCGTGACCTGAAATGATCTGCCTGCCTCCGCCTCCCAAAGTGCTAGGATTACAGGTGTGAGCCATTGAGCCAGGCCTGCTTTTAGATGAAAACCTGGAGTCCTCTTGATTCCTTCTTTTTCTCAGGCTCCCCATCCCTGATGGTCTGCTGTCTGCCTCCTGCCCTGCTTGCCTTCTCACCAGCGTGTCCATTTTCCCTCTTGCTTTCAGAGTTCCATCCTCTCCAACCTCCTTTCAGTGTTCCAGCCGTGCCAGGCTCTGTCCTGCTGCGCTGTGCTGCCTCCTGGAAACATTCTTCACCCAGGGTGGGAATGGCTTTTCTAACATGCCTCCTCCTCATAGAGGCCTACCTACAGCTTCCTTCTTCCTCTGTCACTGGGTCACTGTCAGTGCTCTAGTCTCCAGCAGCCATAACATAGGACAGCATCATTCTCTTCCCCCTTGAATTATGCACCAACTGCTGACTGTGATGGTTCCTTAGAGAATGGTCACACTGTAATGAGTAAACTGATCCTATATTTTTGAGTGCAGTGCTTTGATTAATTGACATCCATTCCTTTAAACTAGAGGTTGTCAAACAGACTTGGTCCTGCCTGTTTCTGTAAAGCAAGTTTCATGGCACATAGCCATACCTACTTATTTGCATGTAATTTGTGGCTGCTTTTGCACTACAATGACACAGTTGAGTATTGTGATGAAGACCACATACGTCCTCCAAAGCATAAAATATTTACCATCTGGTTCTTTATGGAAAAAGAATGCTGACTTATGTTCTCAATTGGAGCATATAGGAAGGGATTGGTCCATTCATTGAGAAATCTGTTCTAATAATAAAATGATGTCATAAAGAGCAAAATGATCAGCCAGCCTTCCTTTTCTCTCTCCAGCTAATGTTCTCTATGGGCCACCCCACACTAAACAGGCAGTGAGCATGTTTCTTGGAGCAGTGGAAGAAGCAAAGAAAGAAAGTGGCACAGAGGTCTATGGGGGCAAGGTAAGGGATGATCTGAGATTAATCTAACAGCTTTTTAACCTTCTTTTCCCTTAGACACAAGCAGGGCTCTGGGCATATTGGGAAAGTGACCCCATTTGACATCCTTCTTTTCCTGTCTTTATTATAAGTGGAAATACACGTTTTTGTTTGTTTTTGCTTTTGAGACAGTGTTACTGTGTCGCCCAGGCTGGTGTTCAGTGGCATGATCTCAGCTCACTGCAACCTCTGCTTCTCGGGTTCAAGTGATTCTCCTGCTTCAGCCTCCCAAGTGGCTGGATTATAGGCGCACGTCCCCATACCCAGCTAATTTTTGCATTTTTTGGTAGACATTGGGTTTCCCATGTTAGCCAGGCTGGTCTCCAACTCCTGGCTTTAAGTGATCTTCTACCCACCTTGCCCTCCCCATGTGTTGGTATTACAGGCATGAGCCACCACACATGACCCTGTTTGTTTTTGTGACAGGGTCTTGCTCTGCCACCCATGCTTGAGTGCAGTGGTGCCTGATTTTGGATCACTGCAACCTCTGCCTCCTGGACTAAAGCAATCCTCCCTCTTCAGCCTCCTGAGTAGCTGGGACTACAGGTGACATCACCACCCCTGACTACTATTTGTATTTTTGGTAGAGATGGGGTTTTGCCATGTTGCCCAGGCCGGTCTTGAACTCCTGAACTCGGGTGATTCACCCACCTCTGCCTCCCAAAGTGTTGGGATTATAGGCATGAGCCACCATGACTGGCCAGAAGTACATGTTTTTGTTTTTGTTTTTCTCGTGACTGAGTCTCACTGTCTTGCCGAGACTGGAGTGCAGTGGCGTGATCCTGGCTCACTGCAACTTCCACCTCCCGGGTTCAGGTGATTCTCCTGTCTCAGGCTCCCGAGTAGTTGGGATTACAGGCTCCTGCCACCGCACCCAGCTAATTTTTGTTTTTCAGTAGAGACAAGGTTTCACCATGTTGGCCAGGCTGGTCTGGAACTCCTCACCTCATGATCTGCCTGCCTTAGCCTCCCAAAGTGCTGGGATTACAGGCGTGAGCCACCACACCTGGCCAGAAATACATTTGTTAAAGAATGACAACAGTGCTTGCTTTGACAGCACATATACTAAAATTGGAATGTTACAGAGAAGATTAGCAGATGACCTATGCACAAGGATGATATGCAAATTCATGAAGCATTCCATATTTAAAAAAACAACAGAAAAAAAATGCATGGGACATTTCTGGAAGGACATAGAAGAAACTGAGTCATGGTTGCTTTTGAATTGGGTCCCTAAATATTTGTATGGAAAGGAGAATTCCTTTTCATAGCACAGTCGGAGACTTTGTATTCAGAGCAATTAGAATCTATTTATTGGTAATCTTAAAAAGTCATTAAGGCAAGGAATAAAAAAATACATACTGTAAGTATTAAAACAAATTAACACATATTGCTGGGTGCAGTAGCTTGCACCTGTAATCTCAGCAGTTTGGAGGCTGTGGTGGGAGAATTGCTTGAGGCCAGGAGTTCAAGACCCTCCTGGACATCATAGACCCTGTCTCTACCAAAAAAAAAAAAAGCCAAGTGGGGTTGCTTGCACGTGTAGTGCTAACTACTTGTGAGGCTGAGGTGGGAGGATCACTTGAGGCTGCAATGAGTCATGATGACATCATTGTACCGCAGCGTGGGCAATAAAGCAAGACCCTGTCTCAAAAATCAAAAAAACGAATCAAAACCCCACACATATAAAGATTTGTTTGTGGCCAGGCATGGTGGCTCACACCTGTAATCACAGCACTCTGGAAAGCTGAGACAGGTAGATCACTTGAGGTTAGGAGTTCAAGACCAGCCTGGCCAAAATGGTGAAACCTGGACTCTACCAAAAATACAAAAAAAAGAAAAAAATTAGATGGACGTGGTGGTGCATGCCTGTAGTCCCAGCTACTTGGGAGGCTTAGGTGGGAGCATAGCTTGAACCCGGGAGATGGAGGTTGCAGTGAGCTGAGATCAAGCCACTGCACTCCAGGCTGGGTGAGAGCAAGACTCTATCTCAAAAAAAAAGAAAAAATGAAAACAAAACAAAAGGACACTAGTCCTGTTGGATTAGAACCCCACCCATATGACCTTGTTTTACCTTCCTCCTTCAAGGGCCTATCTCCAAATACAGTCACACTGAGTATTAGGGCTTCCACATGTCAATTTTGGGGGGAATACAATTCAATCTATAACACACAATAGATATTTAAATTATGTAAATATTAAAATAACCACTTGCAACAGTGTTTGTTCAAGATAACTTGGTTGTGTCACATGGCATGGCTCTCCATCCCTGCCTGACTCCTTATTTACATTTTTCTCTAACCAACTAAGTTAGAATCAATACCAAGAAGAAAGAATCTTCATTCATGACAGGAAATTATTTTGGAGAAATAATTCACCTATAAATGATGCTAATTTTTTCTTTGTGAGTGTAGGCAAAGATTGTGTCCTCTGACCCCAAGTACTAGAAAATGAAATGCCTCCATTCTTTTTATTTCAATTCTCTGTATTAGGTTATGGATCGCCCTGGAAATTATGTAGAACCGACAATGGTGACGGGTCTTGGCCACGATGCATCCATTGCACACACAGAGACTTTTGCTCCGATTCTCTATGTCTTTAAATTCAAGGTAAAAATGCAATCTGTTCTCTAGTCTAATGTTGAAATAAATAATAAGAGGAAATTGATGGTGGATTAAATTTCACTTGATGAGCCTTTAAGAGGGTTTCAGAAAGTAATCTGAATAATAGCTATATGAAGGTTCAGGATAAAATATGAGATACACACTTTAAAACTCTATCCCATGCCAAGTTAGCTACCAGGGAAATCAGATAGGGTAGTAGACTAGTACTGGAGTTTATGGAGTGTGTGGTCCTTATCTCCTATGTCGTATTAATCCTGAGCTGTGTGGGCCATAGAGGCAGCTTCTCCTGAACCCTGGTACTGGATAGTTTGATAGCCTGAGTGCTGTGAACATGTCAGCAGACAAAATGAGAAGATGTGGGGGCTGGGTGTGGTGACTCACACCTGTAATCCCAGCACTTTGGGAAGCTGAGGTGGGCGGATCACCTGAGGTTGGGAGTTTGAGACCAGACTGGCTAATGTGGTGAAACCCTGTCTCTACTAAAAAATACAAAAATGAGCCAGGTGTGGTGCTGGGTGCCTGTAATCCCAGTTACCTGGGAGGCCAAGGCAGGAGAATTGCTTGACCCCGGGAGGGGGAGGTTGCGGTGAGCCGAGATTGCGCCATTGCACTCCATCCTAGGTGACAGAGCGAGACTCCATCTCAGAAAAAAAAAAAAAGACCTGTGGTTATAAACTGCATCAGAAGACAGGCTGCAGAGTTTTATTTTATTTTCCCTGTTCTCATACCTTGGTCTTAAACTGTAGAGGTTTTACTAGGTTAAGACGCTGGACACACACAGTGGCTCATGCTTCTAATCTCAGTGCTTTAGGAGGATCTCTTGAGGCCAAGTGCTCAGGACCAGCCTGGCCAACACAGTAAGACCTGGTCTCTATAAAGAATGAAAAAATTGGCCGGGCCCAGTGGCTCATGCCTGTAATCCCAGCACTTTGGGAGGCCAAGGCAGGCGGATCACCTGTGGTCGGGAGTTGGAGACCAGCCTGACCAACATGGAGAAACCCTTTCTGTACTAAAAATACCAAATTAACCAAGCATGGTGGCACATTGTTGTAATCCCAGCTACTCGGGAGGCTGAGGCAAGAGAATCTATTGAACCCAGCAGGCGAAGGTTGCAGTGAACCGAGATCACGCCATTGTACTCCAGCCCAGGCAACAAGAGTGAAACTGTGTCTTAAAAAAAAAAAAAAAAATTAGCCAGTTGTGATAGTGTGTGCCTGTAATCCTACCTACTTGAGAGACTGAGGTGGGATGAGAGCCTATCTATAAAACAAACAAACAAATAAAACTCCAAACACCATCACAGGTGAATGAATTAAAAGATCTCATTCCCAGGCCGGGCACGGTGGCTCAAACCTGTAATCCCAGCACTTTGGGAGGCCGAGACGGGTGGATCACAAGGTCAAGAGATCAAGACCATCCTGGTCAACATGGTGAAACCCCGTCTCTACTAAAAATACAAAAAATTAGCTGGGCATGGTGGCACGTGCCTGTAATCCCAGCTACTCAGGAGACTGAGGCAGGAGAATTGCCTGACCCAAGAGGTGAAGGTTGCGGTGAGCTGAGATCGCGCCATTGTGCTCCAGCCTGGGTAACAAGAGCGAAACTTCGTCTCAAAAAAAAAAAAAAAAGATCTTATTCCCTAGCTTGAGACAGGCCCTAGCCTTGCCAGTAAATATTTAGGATTAATTTTGACGCTATAGAGATTTAATCAAGATTTGAATGTGCCATTATGAGCAGTTAAAGAATAGTGAGAATAGCATCTTGTTGCAATTACATGATTGCATTTCTTTATTTCTTGCTTTGAATGACTTGTCATTGTTTCACATGTGGGGACTAAAGGATATAATTTTGTGTTTTGTAATGTGTTTGTGTACATTATGAGACTGCGTGAGCTCTTGAGCAAAGTAGCCTCTCTAGGCCTCAGTTGCCCTATCTGTAAATTGGGAGATAGTAGAAAACCTGTGTTACAGGATGAGGATTAAATAACTAAATGCATGTTAAGTGCTTAGATGAGTTATTTAGCTATTTTCTCTAAGAGCTCACTAGATATTAGCTATTATATATAATAGATTGAATGAGAGGAAGAATGTGCTAATATTTGTTTCTCAAATTATAATTACGGGAAAAAAAATCCCAAAAGGTTTGACTTATTATCAATGATCTGAATTATAAGAGTATACTGTTGACTCTTTGGTTTCCTTTTGTACACTAAAATTATACTGGTACATCTCAGGAAATGAGATTAATGTCAGTGAACTTTGACCTGAATACTGTAACATCTAACAGCTTCCGATGTCTCGCCTTTTAGAATGAAGAAGAGGTCTTTGCATGGAATAATGAAGTAAAACAGGGACTTTCAAGTAGCATCTTTACCAAAGATCTGGGCAGAATCTTCCGCTGGCTCGGGTACAACTTTGACTGTTTTGAAAATTTATATAAGTCTGATTTATGTGATGAGTGGACTTAAAAAACAACAGTATAGTTGAAAATCAATTTTTCAATATTGAAAGCCTATGAGCTTAGATTTAGATTTTTAATTTATTTTTGTTTGTTTTTAATTTCCTGTTCATTGTTCTCACCATGCCTTTCTTTTTACCAGACCTAAAGGATCAGACTGTGGCATTGTAAATGTCAACATTCCAACAAGTGGGGCTGAGATTGGAGGTGCCTTTGGTACGTAGAGAATAGAGTCTTGTTTTCCATGTTGGGCAGCAAAGAAAATCCAGTGGCAGCTTTTAGAAAAGTTTGACCAAGAAACAGAAACAGTCCTTATAGTCTGAAATAACCTTATGTGACCCAACATGCTGAGAAAGCTTTCATTCTGTATTCAAAGTTATCACATAGAGTCTTGCATCATCTCCTCAGAGGCAGCATCAGGTTGGAGAAGAGGCCTCAACCTGAAAGGTGTGAACCCTGAAACGGTGGCATTTGTTTTCTGGGGAGAAGTTTCCAGACCCAAAAAAGGTGGTTAAGAATCCCTGCTTCAAAGCCAGAAAATTTTACATGAAATGTTCTGGTTTTTATTTGCAAAGTAGGCATATAAATGTTAAACGTACTCTTTTTCACTAGATAGAATACTAAATTGTTTTCTTTCACTGGACCTGCTCCTGTCTCCTCTTAATAAGCCATGCATTATTACTGCTGAAACTTGGTAGTAGTTTTTCCTAAAAAGCTCTCCCTAACCATCGTATATTAAGTATCACTTATTAAAAATGATCCTAAGTAAGATAAAATAGATTGCTTGTTGTTTTTTTTTAAATAAAGAAGCAGGCTAGGCACGGTATCTCATGCCTGTAATCTTAGCACTTTGGGAGGTCAAGATGGGTGGATCACCTGAGGTTGGGAGTTCGAGACCAGCCTGGCCAATATGGAGAAACCCCATCTCTACTAAAAATACAAAAAAAATTTAGCTGGGTGTGGTGAAGCATGCCTGTAATGCCAGCTACTTGGGAGGCTGAGGCAGGAGAATCACTTGAACCAGGGAGGCAGAGGTTGTGGTGAGCTAAGATCGTGCCATTGCACTCCAGCCTGGGCAACAAGAGTGAAACTCTGTCTCAAAAAATAAAATAAAATGAAAATAACGTGTAGAAGCAAAATAAACATGCATTAATACTTGTAAAAGTTTATATCATTAGTGGCATTATGTTATATTTTTAGACCATATACTACAATTACTGTTTGGTGCACGGACTTTGACAAAAGACTATGTTTTCAAGTCACCTCTTAACCCTGTGCTCCACTGTGCAGTTGCCTAAATGCATGAGTGTCTATCTTCTCCTTGCACTAATTTAATCCCTGTTTCCAACCCATGCTTGCTCTCTCCAATTGACTACTCCTTTTTTTTTTTTCGAGTTGGGGGCTTACTCTGTTGCTCATGCTAGTGTGCAGTGGCGTGATCATAGCTCACTGCAGACTCCAACTCCCAGGCTCAAGCAATTCTCTTGCTTCAGCCTCCTGAATAGCTGAGATTACAGGCATGTACCTCCACACCCAGCTAATTAATTTTTTTTTTAGTTTTTGGTAAAAACGGGCCCTTAGTATGCTGCTCAGGCCTTAAACTCTTGGGCTCAAGCCATCATCCTGCCTCAGCATCCCAAAGTGTTGGGAAAAGTGTTGGCTCAAGCCTGTAAAGGCATGAACGACTTCACTCAGTCAATTGACTATCCTTCATTTAAACTTTCATAGTTAATTTTAAAAGTTTTGGTGGCCCAGCACAGTGGTTTATGCCTGAAATCCCAGCACTTTGGGAGGCAGAGGTGGGCAGATTGCTTTAGCTCAGGAGTTCGAGACCAGCCTGAACAACATGGCAAAAACCCATCTCTACAAAAAAATACAAAAATTAGCTAAGCATGGTGGTGTGTGCTTGTAGTTCCAGCTACCTGGGAGGCTTGAGGTGGGAGGATCTCTTGGGTCTGGTAGGCAGAGGTTGCAGTGAGCCAAGATTGTGCCACTGCATTCAAGCCTGGGTGACAGGAGACCCTGTCTTCCTAGAAAAAATGTTTTGGGCTGGGCTTGGTGGCTCATTCCTGTAACTGTTTAAGCCCGGGAGTTTGAGATGAACCTGCGCAACATAGTAGGGACCTGTCTCTACAAAAAATAAAAAAAACTAGCCAGGTGTGGTTGCACACCTGTAGTCCCAGCTACTTGTGAGTCTGAGGTACGAGGCTTGCTTAATCCCAGGAGTGTGAGCCTGCAGTGAGCCATGATCCCACCACTACACTCTAACCTGGGTGACAGAGTAAAACATGATCCTGTCTCTGAATAAATAAAAGTTTTGAAAAAGTCTTATAATGGAAAAAGTAGTTTTGCCCATACTTCTCCTCCTCCTTTCTCAGAGGCCATACAGATTCTTTTTTCTAAAAGAAAAAGAAAAGTAAATTTACCTTTGAATTGATGTTAGTTTCTCTAAACAGTGTGCTTTCACTGCTATCTCCTTGACAGTTTTAGACATTATGTATTGACCCTTTATTATGATAAATGAAACTTTGCAAACTCTTCTCTTTCCCTATATACTCCCACTCTATAATACGATGATATTACGTGGGGGTGGGGTCCATAGGAAGCCAGGCACAAATTCCAAGAGTGTTCTCCCAGGGAAGTCACACAGGATGTGCTGAATTCCTCCAGCAATGAGTTGTGACAACACATGTGAATTGTTGTCTACCAGCAAAGCTCATTAGACTCAGGGCCTACAGCTTTTCTTGGGGGCTGGTCATGTAGACACCCTCTTCCTAGCACTTACCGAAATTCCAGACTCTCAGTAGAAAAGCAGGTATTTTTTTAAAAGCCACATTGTTTGTGCAAAAACAATTTAGACTCAGGGGGCTGCCCTTACCATTTAAGGAAAGTTCTATGTTATTGTAGAGAGCTGTTTACCAGCCAAATTTCCAGATGCCAGCAACCTTGCAAGGCAGCCTGCTCTACAGCAGGTCCTCTATATAATGATGAGAAAAAAACAAATAAAACAACCTATTCTCAGCCAGGGCCACTATCAGTGTGGAAGTTGCATGTTCTCCCTATGTCTGTGTGAGTGGGTATTCCAGTGTCCTCCCACATCCCAAAGCTGTGCACATTTGGTCAATCAGCATGTTGAAATGGTCCCAGTCTGAGTGAGTGTGGGGTGTGTGTGAGTGTACCGTGTTGGGGTGTGTGCTTTGTACCTGAGCTGCTGGGATGGATTCCAGCTGCCCATGATCCTGAACTCAATAAGCAGGTTGGAAAAGAAATGAATGAATGAATACAAATAATTGTAAAATATACATGTGTAAAGTAAACAGTAATGTACAAATTCATAATGATAAGCATTGTATGAAAGTGCTCAGTGAGCCTGCTAGATTCGCTAATCTTTGTTTTTGAACTGTGTTGTGGGAGGAGGTGCTCCTTACAGTTTTGATATGAAAACAGATTCCTTGATTTAATCCAACCACTGTCACTGAGTGCCTTCACTCACTGATACATCAAAAATTGGGTAAATAGTTATTTTTCTTGTTTTTATTAATCTTCCTTAAGTACAGATTACATTTATTTCAATGTTTAGTATTAGAAGCCTTTTGGGTCTTTATTTAGATGTGTGATGTTTTTGTGACCAGAAATGTGCGGTAGGAATTTGACACTAGTTTATAATGGTAAAATGGGTTTCGTGATATGTCATTACATTTCAAGTCATAGTTTCTAAGAATCTATTATTCAAATTAAGTAAAGACTTACTGTACCTTTTATGATTTTTTTGCACAGTTAGTAATCATTTGTCCTCAGAATTTTAAAGCCATTACTCGTTCTTTTTGTTTCTAGTACTGCAGTTGAAAAGTCCAACTCATTTTTATTTCTGATCCTTTTTTTCTCTTATTTCAGAAATATTTGGGTCTACTGTTTATGTCTGATGTTCTGGAATTTCATAATGATATGCCTCAATGGAGATCTGTTTTAAAAACTTTTCGTTGGGCTGGGTGCAGTGGCTCATGCCTGTAATCCTAGCATTTTGGGAGGTTGAGGCTGGTGGATCAGTTGAAGTCAGGAGTTTGAGAGAAGCCTAGCCAACATGGTGAAAATCCATTTCCACAAAGAATACAAAACTTAGCTGGCTGTGGTGGACGTGCCTGTAGTCCCAGCTACTCAGGAGGCTGAGGCTTGAGAATTGCTTGAAAATAGGTGGCAGAAGTTGCAATGAGCTAAGATTGCACTACTGCACTACAGCCTGGGAGGCAGAACAAGACTCTATCTCAAAAAAAATTTTTTTGCTGGGTAATCAGTGGGCCAGTGACTGGCCTAGTTAGAGTTTGAGGACTCTTAGTTTTTAATTATAGAAGGTTTTTGTTAGCTTTCTTTATTTTGTTAGTATTTCTTTGATTTTCCCCTTCTATACTCTCTATTTTAATTTCTAGAACTCCTGTCATTTTAATGTAGTGTCTTGAAGAATTGTCTAATTTTATCTTGTCTCATTATTCTTTTTTTTTCTTTTTCTTTTTTTGTTTTTTTGAGATGGAGTCTTGCTCTCTCGCCCAGGCTGGATCTTGGCTCGTGGTACCTTCTACCTCCCAGGCTCAAGTGATTCTCCTGCCTCAGCCTCCTGAGTAGCTAGGATTACAGGCATGCACCACCATGCCTGCTAATTTTTGTATTTTTAGTATACATAAGGTTTTATCATGTTGGCCAGGCTGTTGTCTAATTCCTAACCTCAGGTAATCCAGCTGCCTTGGCCTCCCAAAGTACTGGGATTACAGGTGTGAGCCACCACACAGGGCCGGCCATGTCTGGTGGCACACTTTTTTTTTTTTGAGATGGAGTCTCCCTCCATTGCCAGGCTGGAGTGCAGTGACATGATCTTGGCTCACTGCAGCCTCAGCCTCTGCCTCCCAGGTTACAGTGATTCTTTTGCCTTAGCCTACCAAGTAGCTGGGATCACAGGTGTGTAACACCACCCCCGGCTAATTTTTGTATTTTTAGTAGAAACGGGGTTTGACCATGTTGGCCAGGCTGGTCTTGAACTCCCGACCTCAGGTGGTCCACCTGCTTCTGCCTCCCAAATTGCTTGGATTATAGGTGCAAGCCAGTGCGCTCTGCGTTTTCTCTCTCTCTCTCTCTCTCTCAACTAATCAAAAGAGAACTGGAGTATTCTCTTTTTTTTGTTGTTTTGTTTTTTTACTAAATGGTACAGCTTTAAATAGTGTCCTTGTTTTATGGAATCATTATCTTCTTGAAACCTCTATAATGATATTAATGTAGCATTGAAATATTATTATAAAAATAGTATATAAATAATAGAAAATTGGAATATTTAGATAAGCATAAATGATAAAATAAAACTGTATTTTCATCACTGTCTAGAGGTTTCTACTCTGTTTTTTTTTTGAGACAAGGTCTTACTCTGGCCCAGGATTGTGCACCCTCGACCTCCCCAGGCTCATGTGATCCATGCACCTCAGCCTCTCAAGTAGTTGGGGCTACAGTTGTGTGCCACCACACCCAGCTAATTTTTGTAGAGATAGGGTATCACCATATTGTTCAGGCTGCTCTCAAACTTCTGAGCTTGAGCAATCTGCCTGCCTCAGCCTCCTAAAGTGCTGGGATTATAAGTGTGAGCCACCATGCCCAGCCTCTACTCTTAATACCTTAGTCTAATGGGATTTTTTTGTTTTAATTTTTATGGTTTCTTTCTGATATGTTTCCATTTCCTCTTAATTCCTTACATTTTATTTTCCCTCTTAATTCCTTTTTTCTGTTTGTTTTGGGCTGTCTTTCATTTATTTTTTGCAGTGGAGATACTGTGGGGTGAATGTAAATAATCGGGTAGCTCCGGTGTCATTTTGGTATCTTTTTTTCAGCAGTAGCAACTAGGAGTCCACAAGGAAACTGCTCAAAAGCTATAGTATTTTGTATTTCTCTAGGAGAGGAAAGCACACTGGTGGTGGCAGGGAGTCTGGCAGTGATGCCTGGAAACAGTACATGAGAAGGTCTACTTGGTAAGAAAAGGCTTTGGGAAGACGGGTTTGGGCTTAAAGCCTTTGGGAATGGGCTTTTACACTCTCCTGTTTTCTGTGCTGTCTTTGATTTGTTTTTTCCAGCATTCCACAGCTGTCTCCTCTGAATCTATTTGATACTATTTTTCCAGCCTTCTTGCCCTGCTTCGGGTAGTGCCCAGCACCCAACGATGAAATGGTCTCATAGGTGGTTTCTGTCCAGGAGCAGGACACGTGGGGTCAACAGTAGGAGAAAGTAGAAGAAGCTGTTGTTTTCATTTTCTTCTTGGATGCACTCAGTACTCTTGCAGACTGTAGAAGCAGCAGAAAACAGAGGCAGGCAGGGCCCTGCAGGCCTGACTAGCAGGCAGGGTAGTGAGGTACCAGCTCTCAGAATACTGAGATATGTCTTTCCAGATTTTTATGTTTCTCTCTCTCTTTTTTTCTTTCATTAAATGAGATCCGTACTAACATTGTCTTTTATCTTAAAGAGTTTTCTTTAACAAGTTATAACTTGGAGATCTCACCTTATTAGTATATACAGATCGACTGCATTTTAAAAGTGGGCATGAAACTCTTCTGTTATGTGTGTACCATCATTAAATCTGTTCATTTTTTTCCCACTAGTACTATCAACTACAGTAAGGACCTTCCTTTGGCCCAAGGAATCAAGTTTCAGTAAAGATGTTTTCGATGAACATTGCTTAATTTGAGGTGTTCTGGCAGCTGTTTTTGAAGAAGACAAAGAAAATTAAAATTTTCCCTGAATAAGTGCATCATTATGACTGTGACATTGACTAATCCTCCATGACTGCAAAGTCCTGATTAAATCAAGAGACTCATTTTTAAGAAATCAAAATAAAATTGTTACAACATAGCCATATTTACTAAAAGATGGGTTGGATGGATTTTTATTACATTTTCTTTAAAGTTAATGATTATTTTGTAATTAGAAAATATAGTACATATCAGAGTAGGAATTTGGGAAAATACAGACCAGAGGAGAAAACAGAAGACTTTGTGGGAGATACAAGTGTCTCCTGAGCAAGCAGAGGGTCCGGGGGGTAAGTATTGCTTGACATTACCCACCTGTGGCAAGTATTGGATGTCGTGTGAATGAAAGGGAGATGCGTTCCCTTATATGCTTGAGATATAGTTCAGTATTCATGTGGAATAAGTTGCAGAGCTTCAAGTGACAACAGGCATTCATCACAGTCATGGCTTTTGCTCATGAAGACTGTGTCAACTTGGAAGAGATTAGTGGGGTAGAGATTTTGTTCCTGTGTGGAAGTCTGCCACCTACTGGAGGAGTCTTGAGGCCAAAACTGCCTGTGCAGAATTATACGTGTATCTGGAGGCTGGGTGCAGTGGCTCATGCTTATAATCTCAGCACTTTGAGAGGCTGAAGCGGGTGGATCACTAGAGGCTAGGAGTTTGAGACCAGCTTGGCTGATATGGTGAAACCCTGTCTCTACCAAAAAATACAAAAATTAGCCAGGTGTGGTGGAACGTGCCTGTAATCCCAGCTACTCAGGAGGGTGCAGCAGGAGAATTGCCAGGAGGCCGAGGTTTCAGATTGCACCACTGCATTCCAGCCTGGTCAATATCAAGATCCTGTCTCAAAAAAAAAAAAAAAGGGAATCTGGATTTTTTTTATAGAACCCTAGACAATTTTCTTTAGCTACTAGGCTTCTCCAGTTGCCCTTGGATCTGTTCTCAATCCACAATCCTCAGTGTGTGTGGCAGCAAGTCGTCATAGAGAGCTGGGCGAGTTCCCTCCTTGCTGACAGTCTCACTTCTTCTCAATGGGATGCTGCACAGGAGCCTTTGGGCTGGTTCAGTCCAGAGGCCCCTATTCTCCTATCTTCCTGGCACTCTCTGCTCCCCTTTTGCCTGGCATCCGTATACTCCTGCCAGGTTGGACTTGGGCGGAGGCCTTTGAAGAAGACATTTGTAGACAACCTGATCCATCAGGATGTGGAGAGTTTTGGACAAATGGCAAAAAATTTGGAGTTGAATTATGGCCCAGAGAAGTTAGCAAATGAAAAACTAAACAATTGTAAATGTATCAGGGAAGCAAAGGCATTCGTAATATGTCCCACGGCCAGCTGCAAGCAGCGTTTAACTAGATATGCTGTTGTCAATCGTGAATATGAATCAAGCCAAATACTAGTGATACAGCTATTGAGAGAAGGTTGGCAATAAGAAATCATGATTGAGGGTAGGTGGGAGTGCTAATCTTAGCTACAGATTTCAGGTAAAACTGATTCTGAAAGCTTTCTTTGAAACAAATTTATAATTTTTCTTGTATATGTTGCCCAAGTACTCAATATTTTTGGTTCATTAAAACATACATCTTCAGTTTGTTCGTCTTTGTTGATATAAATCACTTGTTAGTATTTTTAACCACACAAGTTAAAATGTGCATTTGTAGCTGTTATTGCTGGTCTTATATTTGAGGGAAGGAGGGGTCTTGTGTTGCTCACTACTGGTTATATTGAGCATTTCATAACTGCTGCCTCCTCCTAAATCCTGTGTTCCAGCCGCTACTGCTGACAATGCCCAGCCTCCACTGAGGACGTGGGGAATTGTGGTTAGAGTGCTTGCTTCTGCCATGGCACTAAAGCTTAACTTGCTTCAGATCTTGCTGTGCTTGGAGAGAGCATCCAGTCTGTTGAGCCTAGCAGCCAGGCTCTTGTGACTCCCTGGGAAGTGGGTAAAGACCTGGCTCCTGGCTGCAGCAGTGTGGAGGCAGGCCCTCCAGAGAAAGACTTCTTACAACGCAGGGGAGGCAGTTTTCTCAAAGGAAATCGAGTGCTATTACATACTCTGCTTTCTCTTTCAGGGTGGGAATCTGTTGGGCCCCCTCTCTCTCCTGCTCTGCAACCACAGAACACTTTTTTTTTTTAAATTTATTTTATTTTTTTGGTGTGTCAGTTTTGCCCACACGGGAGTGCAGTGGTGCAATAGTGGCTCACTGCAGCCTTCAACTTGTGGGCTTAATCTGTTCTCACACTTCATGCTCCCCAGTAGCTGGGAATACAGGTGCATGCCACTGTGCCCAGCTAATTATTTATTTTTTGGAGAGATTGGGTCTTACTACATTGCTCATGCTGATCTTGAACTCTTGGCCTCAAGCAATCCTCCTGTCTCAGCCTCTTGAATTGTTGGGATTACAGGAGTGCACCACCATGCCCAGCTCTGGAAAATTCTCTGTGGCATTTTGCCTTTGGAACATAATAAAGGGACCAAGAGGCCTCAGCGTTCTTTTTTTTCTCTCTTCTCTGGCATTTTCAGACAATTTTCCTGTTGTCTTCATTGTAACAAAGGTTGCAAATTGGAAATCTGGTTTGACATGTTTAAGTGTTTTCAGTTTCAAAATTTTAATGAAATTCCTGTTGTCTCCAACACATTTTTTTTTTTTTTTTTTTAATATTCGGCATGATTCACTTGCTTACCCTGATTCCCTTATTTAGGTATCTGGAGACATGCAGTGGTGCCAATTTTTGAAGTTTCTACCCTCTCCACACTTACCTCCCCTTCTACGTAACCACTCATGTTTAATTTTATTTGTGCTATGTGTTGGTCTTAAAGTCTTAAAAGAGGAGGTGTGAAGAGATTAGGTTCAGGTGGATGCCATTCATCTTCAGTTTCATAAATGGTACATTTTGATGTACCTGAGTTTTAGGTTTTTCATGTAATAAAATATATTGATCTTTCATAATTTTTCCAATTTAAGTTTTGAAAGTTAGGTTGTAAATATATCTCTTAGCTTTTTCTTTATTGTGACGTGTATTTTTAAACATCAAAGTAATACTTGCATACAGTTAAACATTCAAACAGGGCCAGAAACAGTGGCTCACACGTGTAATCCCAGCACTTTGAGAGGCTGAAGTGGGTGGATTGCTTGAGTCCAGCAGTCTGAGACCAGCTTGGGCAACATGGCGAAACCCTGTCTACAAAAAATACAAAAATTAGCTGAGTGCGTGGTGATCACCCATAGTCTCAGCTATTTGAGAGGCTGAGGTGGGAGGACTGCTTGAGCCCAGGAGGTCAAGGCTGCAGTGAGCCATGATTATGCCATTACTCCAGCCTGGGCAAGAAGTAAGACCCTGTCTCGGGGCAGGGGTGGGAGGGGGTAATCAAATTCGGCTAGAATGCTTATAATAAAAACTAGCAGCTCACATTCTCACTCTACCCAACTCCTGTTTCTGTTACAAGAACAACCACTTTTTCTACTGTTGACTTTTCTAATATTCTCTTATTTACCTCCATATTTCTAGTGTGCAACTATCACCAGTGTCTAGTTCCAAAACATTGTCATCCCCCCAAAAATCTTATACATATTAAGCAGTCATTTTCCATTCCCATCCCCATCCAGGCCCCAAGCCACCATTAATCTGCTTTCTGTGCTTATAGATTTGCCTATTCTTGTTATTTTATATAAATAGAGTATTACTAATTTCCAAACAGTTGGATTATCTGTGTCACATGCCTATCATTAATATTTTCCAGTTACTTGGTGTCAGTTTCATTTTTGTTTTGCTTGCTGTTTTTCCTGGCATTGACACTCCAAGGGCCTTTTGTCCCCCTGTTCCCATGTGGCTGCTCTCTAGAGTGGCTGCACAGGTGTCCTCCTTGGACTCCCCATTGCTCTTCTATGTTATAGCCTTTTCTTCTCTGGATCCTGTGTTTTCTCTTTATTGCTGTATGCTCTTCTTTTGCTGGAGCCTCTCCTGCAGAAGCTTCCTGCCAATGATTGTTTTGGAGGAAATTAAAAGAACACAAAGCCAACCCTCTCTTATCCAAGGGGGAAGAACTTTATCCTTATATTGATTGAATTTAGGATTCTAGATTTAAAATGTTAGAGGCAGTTAGAGTTTCCTTTTATCCTATTGGAAAGATCCACACACGTTTAATTGACATTTTTGTCTTTAATCCATTTGGATTTGGGGTATATGTTTTGATTTGTCTACATTAATTTCCCTTTTAAAAATCGAAATAATTCTTCAACCCCAATTAGACAACTGAGTTGTCGTTTCCGCACTGATGCCTCTTTTATAATACACTGCATTCTTATGTATAACAGGATCTGTTTCTAGCTGTGTATCCTGATTCAGTAATTGGCATATGTACGTGTGTATATAGATCGATGGAATGCCATTTCCACATGCAGACTGAGGGCAAGCTTATTACTTTTTCTATGACTACATCTGTCAGGTGTCCCCTCTTCTGTGGCTCTATAGGATTCCGTTAGATAGTGGTGGTCACTGCACAGCTCTATAAATTAACTAAATGCTACTGGATTGCACATTTTAAAATGGTTAAAACTGTGAGTTTTATGTTGTATTTTGCAATCAGAGAAAAAACATAAAGCAAATTAAACAATAAAAAGGGCAATTACTAACTCCAGGGAAAACAACATTTAATTCTTGTGATCTTTTAAATATCTTCTATTTAAATTGTTTTAGACTCCTACATTTAGTATCTATGTGACCTGCAGGAAGTAACCTAATCTCTTTGAACTTCATTTTCTTGTCTGTAATGTGGGTTATATCAGTGTGGTTTCCTTGTTGCAAGCTGCGGAGTATCAATTTGGTTTCTTTGCTGAAAGCTGCAGAGTATCAGTCTGGTTTCTTTGTTGCAAGCTGTGGAAACCAATTATGTTTTTAGCAGACATGGGATGTATGGGAAAGCCCAGATCTAATTTGCCCCTCCAGATCCACTGTCCCACATTTGCCTGCAGGGTGTCCTTGGGGCTGATCTCTGTGGTCTGTGTCATCTGGGCTTGCTTTATCCTCTGGCTTCTGATTGTGTTTGGCCAGTGATAGAAAATCAGAGCAGAAAGAAAAAGTCAGAGTATTAATTTTTCCACTCCTTCCCTGCCAGCCCATGGTAGTTACTGTTTTTTTTTTTTTTTTTTTGAAAATGTAACCAAAATGTGTTTATTGGAATGGTTTCCTATTCGTTCTGATTCCGGGTACTTTTAGTGCTGCTTCCTCTAAGGAACATTCTTCTGTAAGCTTTGCTTGTCCTGTAGGCTGGGCTGATGGAGTAGAGCAGCCAACACTCACAACTTTAGGCATGGTGAAAGAGCATGGTGACTTTGTAGCATCCTGGTCATTTCACATCCATGAAGAAGAAATCGGCTCATCACCAGGAGCTTCTCATGTTTTCTCTTCTGGAGAGGCATGAAGGAGACCCTTTGCTAGAGGCATCTCGCCGGAAAGCTTATTCTTTTTTCTGTGTCTACGTCTCCTGTTAGATGGTGCCTCTGCTGTGGCTCTGTGGATTCTGCTAACATCACTTCCTGTTTTTATCCTTTAGTCTGCAAGTAGAGATGGAATTCTGCTGACATTTCCTGGGTTTATCTCCTTACCTTTGGGGACCTAGCTAGATGGCAGGTAAAAATCAACTGTCTTGTAGAAATGCCGCTGCTAGAATGAGTGAACGTCAATAGGTTTTAGGCTTTTTGTTTCTCAAAATTAAAACTGCAGGAAAGGACCAGGCAATTCACCTAGAATGGATCATTTACTTTTAAGGTAATTTACCTGCACCTTGGCAAGGGAAGAGCAAAACACCTGTATTAATAGTCCTAATGCTGAAATCAAGGACAGATAATTCTTCTAAAAGAAATTAGAGTTGTTATCACAGGTAAGAAACATAGACACTGCTAAGCTTAAACAGTAGATTTTCACTGTATGCAGATGGCAATAACATCTGTCTCACACCATTATTTGGATTAAAGAGCAAAATTATAAAAGTTAACACTGCCTGGTAGGTACCTGGTAAGGGCTCAGTAAATGTTGGCTACTGTTATTAAGATGTTTTCCACATTTGTTTTCAGCTTTTATATTTTAATTATTTTCCTAAATAAAATTTAGAAACATTCTTCAGGTTTTTAAAAAGGAAATTTCTTTGGAATTTTTTATTGGACTCAAACTTATAAGTTAGGAAGAACTAATATATACTACTCAGGTCTTAAAAGCATCAATAATATGTAGTTTGGTCAAATTTTTATGGTTCCTAGCAAAATTCTGTAGCTTATTTCAAGCAATGTCTCATCAAATTTTCAGTGTCTCTGTGTGTGTGTGTGTGTGTTTGTGTGTGTGTGTGTGTGTGTGTATTTTAAGAGTCTGTCACTTAGGCTTGAGTGCAGTGGTGCTGTCTTGGCTCACTGCAACCTCTGCCTCCTGGGTTCAAGTGATTCTCATGCCTCAGCTTCCCAAGTATCTGGGGATTACAGGTGCACACCACCATGCCTGGTTAATTATTGTATTTTTAGTAAAGACGAGGTTTTGCTATGTTGGCCAGGCTGGTTTTGAACTCCTAGCCTCAAATGATTTACCTGCCTTGGCTTCCCAAA